TCCTCTACATAAGGTACAATACAACCGTGTAAACATCTCCATTACAGTACAAGTACTCACAAAGTAGGTAGCTAAAGTATCATCAGAGAAAGTCTTGGTTTGGTCCCTGTGACTGATTCTGTCTGACACTGTTAGATAATATTATACAGCAGCATTTACAGTCAAGGTGGAGCTAGTTTCAGCTACTTTACATACTTGGACATACATATTTATCATACATATACATTCATGTATATAAACTAGGGAGCTAGTTTAGTCCAGTGGTTCCCAACCTATAGGGTTGGGCCCTTCTAAAGGGTCACCAGAGAAATCTGAGGGGTCGTCAGATGATTAGATTATATGAAATTGAGAAAAAACAAAGTTCTTATTAACAAACCTGTTTTCACTTTTCTCCAGTTTTTGGTTTTTAGTGAAATATTAGGAAACATGGTTTCAGCAGGTTCACCAACCGAAGATCTTTAAAGACCTTTTGAATACCAATAGAATGTCTCTCTCTCAAATTAAATCGAAGGCAACTGGACTTCTGTCTGTCTGTGGAAGACGTTTCGCCTCTTATCCAAGCGGCTTCATCAGTTCTTATGTATTGGTCTCTCTAGTCCGCACTAGTCTGGAATGCTATTTCCAATAGAATTCTATTTGCTAATATCTGTCTCACGATCATATCAGCTAATGAATGGAAGTACAGTGTGATGGAAATCCAGTAGGGACCATATGGCCCCGAATGACTTATTATTATATTATACACAACAAATAAAGGAGGATTCAGTCACTGGCCTCAAGCACATCAACAACACTGCTCCCTCAGGGAAGTCTTCCATGTGGACTGCTTTCCCTTCATATGGCCAATCACAGGCTATCACAGGTCAGAGAGTCTGTTCAGCTCACACACCAGGAAGTGATTGGGGTTACCAGTCAGCAGCATAAGACTGTGTGAAAACCAAGTTGTTTCACTCCCAAACAGAGGAATACAAATGTACCAAAGTAAGGTTAGACATGATACTCAAAGAGTCTAGGGTTGGAGCAGAAACTCTCAGGACCATGTCCCAGGACAGTGGAACTGTATTAACTTATGGGGGAGGAGATACGCCATCAAAATGAAGCTGCCAGGATTGCCAAAACCATATGTCAAACCAAGCAGCTGAGTGAGATGGGAGGGCATTGAGAGGAGGAGAATCTCCTGGAAAGATCTGTGGAACATAGAGGCTGCTAGGATGAGCTTCCTTATCCATGACACATGTGATCAGAATCAGAATCAGAATCTGGTTTATTGCCAAGTAGGTTTTCAACATTGAAAGAATTTAGGATACTTTAGTGTTTTGGTGCATGACAACAAACATAGTAAGAAGAAAATAAATATAAACAAAGATGAAACAAGCAAATACTGCAGGTCAGATATCTTAAATGTAAATAGAAAAATTCAACAATAAGATGAAACTTATTGTTTCAGGATCCTGGCATAGGTTCCTGAGGGGTCCAGGTGCTGGAGGAGTAAGTGGAGAGCCATGTTGACAGCCTCATCTACAGACTTGTTGGCTCTGTAGGTGAACTGCAGGGGGTCAGTGATGGTTTTGAGATGGGAAAGCGCAAGGCGCTCAAATGACTTCATAACCACAGAGGTCAGGGCAGTGGGTCTGTTGTCATTAAGTCCTGTGGTCCTTGGGTTTTGGGGATGGTGATGTTGGTGGAGGACTTGAAGCAAGCTGGCACATGGCATGTCTCCAGTGAGGCGTTAAAGATGTTCATGAACACTGCAGACAACTAGTCAGCACAGAGCTTCAGGGTGGATGGAGAGTCAGAGTCACAGTCACAGTCTGAGCCAGGTAAGACATGAACTCATGTTTAGATAGAAGTAGCCACATGTATGAGCTTGTTCCATTTGAGGATTCTGGGTTTAAAGACGCCTGTCAGAAGAGAGGTCAGAGATTTGAGGTGTTTAACTTCTTAACTGTATAGCTCATCACCCTCAATGCATCATGCATCAATAAAATGCTTCTGCTTAAGAAATCTGTGTCTTCACCTTCTTCCGGCAGCTCACAGCTGTGATACTTCTCCCTTGCAGCAGAGGCAGTTAATCAAGGTGGTCCTGATTATCTTCACATTGTGTCAGTCATGCTCACAGAAGAACATTTAACCTCCATGAGAGGCCACACACCTGGGTGTGATCAGCCTGCGGTGAGCCTGCCTCAGCAGGATGTCTGATGAGTAAAAGGCCGAAACAATTCATTGAATCGATGTGGCCTGGACCCAGTGAGGGATTAACCAATGAATAATTATTCATTCATAAATTAATTTAAGTTTTAGCTAAAAATTGTCATTGTCCATGATGAGCCAATGATCATCCAACTCCTGCTGCAGCAGCACTGACAATGTTTGACTGAACATCCTCCTGCAGCTCAGTCCACTGTCACAAGCATCCCACTGTTGGTTCAGAGCAGTTTGATGTCTCAGAGATGACATGAGATAAGATAACATACTTTATTGTCCCTAGGGGGAAATCAGTCTTGGACACTCAGAGAAATGTGACACATAAAGAGGACATACACCCAGACAATGATTTTAAGAGCTTACAAAACTAGAAGGCTGGAAACCAGTGGTTTAGTTTTAATAATGTGTTATATGTCATAAGCTTATAATTTTTATTTATGTAAAACCTAAAAGTGTAAAAAAAAACAGTCACTGCCAGCTTTATACTACAGTTCAGAAACAAGTACAATCCATGTAGAGGGAGTAGAGAGTAGCACCGCATGAGTAACTTTCCACCTCTGAATTGAAAGAAGAAATCTCACCTAGATGAGGATCATATTCACTGATGAAGCGCTTTGTGAGGAATTTCACTGTCAGAGCTGAAAAAAAAGAAGAGATAAATCACAATGTCAATCCATTCTGTCCATTCGTCCGTCCGTCCATCTGTCTGTCTGTCTGTCTGTCTGTCTGTCTGTCTGTCTGTCTGTCTGTCTGTCTGTGGAGCCTCAGGGGGCCAGAGGCCTGTGCTACAAAGCAAGTTCAACATACCCAGGATAACATTTAGTTTTCTGGCTTGACTGAACCTAACATTGACCATCCTGAGGTCTGTACAGCAGGATTTGAGGTTATCGAGGTAACTTCAGGTTTAACTCTGGATTTTCAGTCCTATGACAGTGGTTCACTTGTTACCAGGGTAAATCCCCATGGTAACTGATGCTGAACTCCTAACCTGCTCTGATGCAGGTTAACTTCAGAGGATCAGATCAAAACCTGGGGACTAAAGAGTTTACAGTAAAGTGATCAATAATAACAAGCAATAGATATAAAATATAAAAAAGCAGTGGAATGGTTTTCTTGTTTGAGTCTTTCCATGTGTCCACTCTGGTTTTAGAGCAAAGCTTCTAAAAAACTGGTTTATCATGCTAAATAAACTTTTATAACTTCATTTTTATTGAACAGATATTCTTTAAGGATTCCTGACAGTGTCAGTGCTTTCACTCTCTTCTTCATCACTGCTGCTCAGAACAACATGAGGACACTCTGTGACCACAACTGGAAATAAAAACTAAACCTGTGATGTTTTTGATTAGAACAGTGAGGCACACACTGTTAATTATTTAAATGATTATAAATGAACATTTCAGTCAGACTGACTCATCAGACATCAACTAATTCTCTCCTCTTTTCTTTCTCTCTGCAGCAGAAACAGTCTGACATTAACTTTAACTGATTTATCTGCATCTCATGTTCATAACAGTTTGTTCATCATCAGACTGGAGAGTGTAAATACTCAAACATAATGACAATTAATGCACTTATTTACAAAATATCTTGAGTCTGACTTTAATATAAATTATATTTAGACATGGAAATAATATTTTTTTATTCCCGTCATGTGATCATATTGTTTACATTTCAGACGTTGCTATAACCAAACTCACCAGCAAGTATCAGCGTTTTATCAGTACTTCATTCATGGTTCAGACAGAGTTGCTTATAATAAACAACTCCGCCTCTTTCACATGAACGAATCCAGGAGTCAAACGAAGCTGGAGATTGGATAATTACTGATATTTATCACCTGTCTCATTTTAATAGAACGTCCCTGAAATGAAAGCGGAGAGATAGTCTCTCCTCTCATAGAACCTGGGTTACATATGTAACCTCACGTTCTCTATCATGTCAAGACTATCTCGCCACCCTACATATTCCATATGTAGGGTCTTGTCCTGCCACACTGCGCCCAGCACACGTTCAGCGAATGGGGGAGAATGGGCACGCACCCCTACTGGGGCTGGCCTTCCCACTGCCTTGTAGGGCAAGCTCTTCCATTTCTCCCATCCTCTTTGATGATGTAACTACCAACAAGAATGCCATCTTGGGATAAAGCCATTTCAGCCCAACTGTTTCCAGTGGCTCGAAAGGCTCATGCTGCAAGGCTGACAACACCAGCTCCAAATTCCATGCGGGGATAGCTGGCTGTGTTTGGTAAGGAGTAATCCTACGAACCTCTAAGAAACTGAGCAATAAGGTCACAGCAACCCTCTGCCAGTTTCCAAGGACCAACTCGAGCTGCCTTTATTGCTGCCACCATTCCCCTCAAAGTCAAGGGAGACTTGCTCAACATTTCTTGGAGGAACTGGAGAATGTAATGGGCCGTGCAGGAGAGGGGGTTCACCTGTCTCGAGTCACATCATGATTGAAACACTCCCCAATGGTAGGAATATGCTGCCCTTGTTGATGGAGGCCGGGCTATCTGTAGAGTGCTAACCACGGACTGGGGCAATCTCATGGCTAGGAACTCGGTCCTCTCAGGGGCCAGGCACAAAGCCTGAGCCTATGGGGAAAGGGATGAAAAAGAGTCCTGTGAGCCTGAGACAGGAGGTCCCGCCAAACAGGGAGCTCCCAGGGCAGTTCTCGAAGGAGGGGTGCTATTGCTGAAAACCAGATCATCTGGGTCCAGTTAGGGGCCACCAGGATGAGGTACATGCATCACTCTCAGGGACTTGAACTGTTGGTTTAGCCACTCCCATATCATCCGAGCCAATCTGCAAAGGCGAGGTGAGCCCAGACCCCCCTGTCTGTTTACATAAGCTGCTGCCACTGTACTGTTGGTCCTCACCAGCACGTGGTGATCCCTCAGCTCTGGCTGGAATTGCAGAAGAGCTAGGTAGATAGCCTGCAGTTCCAGAAGATTGATGTGGTGTGCTAACCAGGATCCATGCCACCAGCCGCTGATGCCTTTGTCTGCGTGGACGGCTACCCAGCCTACTGGGATGACACCACTTGGCGACGCAACATTATTTCCAGCTAACGTCACGTTAACGTTATTCAGAGTCATCAATACTGTCAGGAATCCTGTCGGATTAAAGAATATTTGTTCAATTAAAATGAAGCTTTGATAAACTCTCCTGTTTGTTAGAAGCTCTGTTTTAAAACCAGAGTGGACACATGCTGGTCTGGAACAGCCAAACGATACCAACAATATATAAAGTAAAGTCTTTTGTTCCAGTCAGGATCCTGTAGGAATGATGACACAACAACTTCCACTGAAAACACAACAACAATAACAACAACACATTCCACTGAAAACACAACCACATCCCTGACAACACAACAATAACAACAACACATTCCACTGAAAACACAACCACTTCCACTAACAACACAACAACAATAACAACAACACATTCCACTGAAAACATAACTACTTCCACTGAAAACACAACATGGACAGCAACACATTCCACTGAAAACACAACCACTTCCACTGACAACACAACAACAATAACAACAACAACCACTGACAACACAACAACAAAAAATTCCACTGAAATCACAACAAGAACAACAACTTCCACTGAAAACAAATAACAACAACAACTGAATGTACAACAACCACCAAAAACATGACAACAAGTGAAAACACATCAACAATAACAGAAAACACCAAAACACAACAACAACAACAACTGAAAACACAACAACAACCATTGAAAACACAACAACCACTAAAAACACAACAACAGCAACAACTGAAAATACATCACCCACTGAAAACTCAAAAACCATTGAAAACTCAACAACCACTGAAAACATAACAACCACTAAAAACACAACAACTAAAAACAACAATTTCCACTGAAAACTCAACAACAACTACCACTGACAACATAAAAAACAGGAATAACAACAAATTCCACTGAAAACACAACAACCACTGAAAACACAATAACAACAACAACTGAAAACACAACAGCAACCACTGAAAACACAACAACAACCACTGACACTACAACAATAACAACAACTCATTCCACTGAAAACACAACAACTTCTACTTAAAACACAAGAGTATTATGTTTCAGTCAGCCTGAAGGTTCAATAGAGGAAAAGTTTGTTCTCAGTTTCTGTTGCAGTGAAAGAGATCAAGTCAGACCTGATTTCCCAGAGCCCTGAACACCGAGGAGCACCAGGTTACACTCAGCTGGACTTCTGTCAGCAGAGTTACATGTCTTCATCTTCCCGAACATCAGTGACATGATTCCAATCTTCAGACCGCCTCAGAGACAGTCATCTGTACTCTCATTGGATGATAATTAAAAAATTAAAAAATAAATGCTTGTTTGTTTGAGCATCAGAAAATGAAAAATTAAAGTGTCCTCTAAAGATCCAAGTGGGCTGGTAACATGTAATCCAGATCCTGTACTGTGGTCACTGTGAGATTCTGCTGCTCCCAGAGGAGGAAAAACTGATGCTCTGACCTCTCCATTTTAGGAAAAAGACTTCAAACCCAGCCTGTAAAACCTGAACTGAGACACACACACACACACACACACACACACACACACACACACACACACACACACACACACACACACACACACACACACACCACACACACACACACACACACACACACACACACACACAGACCTTCAGACAGCTGGATGTTTGTCTAAACCTCAGGAGCTCCTTTTATTCTACATAAATACATACATACACACACACACACACATTCATATATACTAATATATGATATTACGTATATAGTATATATATAATATAATTATATACACACACGCACACACATCGACACACACACTACTAGCAATATATCATATACACACACAGCACAGCAATATATATATAGTATATATATATTAATATAATTGCTTTGTGTGTTTGTTCTGTGCTGTCTCGTGTGTGTCTATCCATCATTGTGTGTGTGTGTGTGTGTGTGTGTGTGTGTGTGTGTATTACCTCAGGTTATTGAATGAACAGATGAGAGCAAGGTGGATGGATGCGGCAGGTTGTACAGACAAGCTGTCAGATGATGATCATATACACTGACACTATCACTGCCTGTAGAGGACTAACCCTGCAAACTGTTTAAATATTTACCCCAGTAAAAGTTGTAGTACCATAGTGGAGGAGGACTCTGTTCTCAGATGTTCTGCTGAAAGCCAGCATGTTAAACATGTGACCCACAGGAACAACCTATTGTTGCTGCTCAAGGACAAATGTTCAGCTGTCCTGCAACTGTCACAAACAAAGAGCAATATGAATCATTAGCACTCTCTCAACTACTCTGCCATTATCCAGCTCCTCTTTCTGCTCTGGCTGCATGTCATCATAACGTACTTGAACTGTGTCACACGTCTGCCTGCTATGTATAGAGTGTGTTTTCAAAGCTGTGCTCTGGACAGGAGGCGTCACTCTCTCTGCCACTGAGTGGTGAAACGCTGTGGATGTGCTGTGTTTTCATATGGATCAAACCTTGATTCAGCCTTCCCTGTAGTGAGCGTGCAGCTGAGCTGGAGGTGTAATGAAGCTCTGCAGCAGGGAGGTGATGGAGTCCGGCAGCCATCCATGCTATAAGCCACCTCGCAGCCTGAGGGTCAACATCAATGGAAGCTCTTTCTTTGTGGATAGAAGCACCCTGGCTGATAACTGTGAGTACTTCAGGGCATTGTTCCAGTCAGGAATGAGAGAGTGCCGTGAGGAGGAGATCCAGCTGCATTGTGTGGGGGTTCTGGGGTTCCTGGTCTTGCTGCAGGTCCTGGATGGGAAGCAACCAGTGCTCAACAGTGACCAGATCGTGGAAGCCATCGAGTGTACGGCTTTTCTCCAGGTGCCGGTTCTCACAAAGCACTTGATCAATATCATTAATTCTGAGAACTGTTTGCTGATGTACCACACAGCTGCCACCTATGGTGTGTGGGAGCTGACCCACAGCTCAGCCTTATTCATCAGAGACATGTACGCTGACCTAAGGGAGGACATTCACACCTTACCTAACAAGCTGGTGGAGTATATTGAGTCTCTTCTCCCCAGTAGCTACATGGCCGTATGCAGCCACTCTCCGTCCTCTAAGCTGTTGCAGGATGTGCAGAGGACTGTCTGCTACCTGGATGAGGAACACCGAGAGTGGAGGGTCCTGACTCATCTACCTGGGACCACCAGCACCACCATGGCCGGTGTGGCTGTCCTCAACAACAGACTGTACATTATCGGAGGGGTGCATGATGTGAATAAGAAGGTAGTAGAGAAGGGTTTCTGTTACGACCCTGCAGCTAACACATGGTCCACCATTTGTGGCCCCCAGCAGCTCCGCTACAACTTCACTCTGGTGGGACATGAGGACTACCTGTACGCTCTGGGGGGGGAGTACAACATGAAAGCCCTGTCATCTGTGGAGAGGTACAGGGTGTCTAATGGGAGCTGGAGTTTTGTCTCCCCCCTTCCATACCCTGCAGCCTCAGTGGTATCAGCTGTGGCCATGAACAGGATGTTTATCTGTCTCTGGAAAGGGAAGGGGGCCACAGATATCCTCGAGTACATACCAGAACCAGACCAGTGGCTTCTGGTCACCACACTCATCCGCCAACACAGTTATGGTCTTTATATGGTGGCCCATAAGGACAATCTGTATGTGATGAGAAACGGACCCTGTGATGACTTCTTACTGTGTGTGATGGACTGCTACAATCTGACCTCAGGTCAGTGGACGGCCATCTCCGGTCAGTATGGGAACAGTAAAGGGTCTCTGCTGACCGCTGTGGTCCGAGGAGACTCCGTGTTCACGCTCAGCAGACATGTGACCACAGAGTACACGGTGGACGAATACAGATGGAGAGTGAAGTGTGAGATGAAAGGTTTCGGCAGGATTGGATCTATACATACATTTCTGATGAGGCTGCCTAAAGCCTCCAAGTCCATCATGGGGAAGTGTCTGGATCTGACTCAGGACCAGAACCTTAGGGACCTCAGTGACTGTCCCAGATTATCCCCACAGTGCTCTGCCAATCTGTAAGAGCTGTTCAGTGGTTTATTACCAATGATGTGGTTTCTCATTATTTTGGATGGGGTCCAGAGTGTAAACACATCCCCGTCAGTTCACAGACTGACTTCCTGCTTCACCTCTGACCTTCTGTTCTTAAGGTAGTTGTGTTCACATGCACCTTTCCTGTAGATTGAATCTGCTTGTTTACAGACGGAGCACATCTTTGTAGATCACAGCAATTATTTGGTGACTGATAGAAAATTGATGAACCAGAACGATCCATTCAGGTGATGTTGAACAGTGAGAATATGTGTTTCTGTGACTCAGATCCTGTTTCCACAGATAACAAACCTTTAACTTTAAAACACCGTTTCCCAGACAGACCCACTGTAGGAGGTCAGAGTAAATCAGGCCAAATAGAGAACAGTAGAAACCTGTAAGGATCACTCACTTGAGCTGAATAAAAATGTGGCCTTGGTTTAGTTTGATAACAGCTTTAATATGAGTCTCACAGTGACACCATAGTTAACATCAATAAAAAATGAACTACTGACACACATGATACGTCTTCATGCCAAAACAAAGTGTGTGTGTAATACATGTGCAGTATGAGATCATCATCATCATCATCATCGTCGTTATCGTTATGCTTACAATATCAAAATAAAAGCATTTATAATATATATACTTTCCCTTTGTAAAGGCCACTGACCATCTTCAGACAAGATGACCTCTGAGTGTGTGTGCTGTTGTGTGGTGTGTGTGTGTGTGTGTGTGTGTGTGTGTGTGTGTGTGTGTGTGTGTGTGTGTGTGTGTGTGGATCTGCTGTCCATCATGCCACACGCATCATCAGCTCCTCGAGGGCCCGCTCTCGGTGGTTCTCGTGGACCAGCAGCACTTCCTTGATGGCGTTCTGCTGGAAGCCCATCTCATGGAACTGACTGAGCAGGTGAAGGAACTCCTCGGCCTCGAGAGAAAGAAACTGTCATGTGTTTATACAACTTTAAAGCACAGTAACTTTGTCAAAATGAAGTAAAGTCTGTGAGAGGATTTTAGGCTCAGGTGGTGCTGCAGGTCTTACCTTTGTCTCACAGTTCTGAAACATCTCCAGAGCCTCCTCTACCTCAGCCATGTCATAACCCAGCTGACACAGGTGGTCACACGCCACCAGGTAACTCAAGATCTGCAGACACGCACACATAAAGGTTTATTCATACAAGACGCATCAATATCATGTGGGTCAAAAACCAAGGAATGAAAATTGTCCCTCATCATAGGATGTCAGCAAGACGATGTTCTCAGGAACAGGACGTTCTCAAGAACAGGGCGTGGATGTATACATCCATGGAACAGGGGCTGCAGTCAGAAGTCAAAGGCCCAATCCTAATGTCCCCCCCAAGCCCTAAACCCACACCCTCACTAAGGATGGGAATCGAGAACCTGCTCCAGTTGAGAACCGGTTCCAACTGGTTCGATCCATCAACAGTGCCGAGAGAGCCATGTGTTTGACGCTCTACATCGCTGGTCAACGAGTGCTTCCCAGTCTCAGCAGAGCAGTGAAGGGACATATTTGTGATGTGTCGGTCGCCACAAGCCAGCTCTTTTAAGTGAACGATGGGAGCCGGCTCCCGTCCCTCGATATGGGAATCAATAAAGAATCGGATCGATAAGCAGAATCGATAATGACATTGGTAACAATAAAATCTTATCAATTCCACCCCTAACCCTCACAGACTTAATTGACGTCACCTGGTGAGTGTTTGAGTGCAAGTGACTGCAAGAGCTTAAAATAGTGTAAAGAGGAATGGGACATCACCTATATCACGTTACCTTGACGATGCCAAAACATTTGCATTCAAATGTGGGTTTGGGACTTTTGATTGTACATTTTTACTCCCTCCCTTCGCTCCCTGTTTTGGATCAGATCTGATCCTATTTGGATATTTGGAATTCATCATCATGGCATCATAGGACAAATAACTCCACAGTTCAGTCTCAGAATCACAGTGAGCTCTGTGTTCATTCTGTCATGTCCTTCTTTCTTCTTTCTTGTAATGCTAACAGTAGGGTTTGTTCCTTTCATGCTTGTTTGTTAATTGTTCTTGCACTTTATGGCTGTTGTTTGCTGTTTTTTACGCTTCCGCACGTCCCCTGATAACCATGGTAACCCTGTGTTTAATGACACAATGCTATGAACTTTGGGTAATTCCCTCAGCAAAGTCTACAGGAATGCAGACTTCGGAAAGTGTGCATAAAGGGCTCAAAATGTCTGCTGGAGAGCCCTCATGTCCTTGATGGTTTGACAGTGGAACAGCCCTGAGCCCTCACCAATTTATCTGGAAGTAACTTTATTTATAACACTTGGTCCACAAAAACAAACTAAACTGGATTGAAATGTTGAAATAAGATAACTTTCCTTTGGTAAAGGAAAGTCTAATGTTTCCTCTGCTAAAGGAGATAAGATAGGAAGCACTGAAGCTCCTTTCCTCACCATTTAGAGAAGTGGAGCAGCTGTGATCATGGCTGCTGCTCAGATACTTCTGGTCACTTCACTCAGCTAGGAACCTTCCTGAGCAAGAAAGACTTTTTGACAGCATCAACATCATAACTAAACACTATTTACTTCACTAAATCCCTTTATTGTTTAATGCACTAAAAATGAATTGTCTCTCCTTCACAAAAATGGTCAGAATGATTTGATTACCATTTATTCTGGCCTCTTGCTCAGTTCCTTATATATTTTTTTCCATGTTGTTTCAACATTTCAGTCCTGTTTGTGTTGTTGTTTGGAGAATTTATCCACCACGTGTTATTAGTAAAGCTGGTTTATAAAAGCCTGGTGTCAGTGTGGCCAGATTCTTTTCCTCATGAATTCTCTTTCACATCTTTGACCTCATGGCGTTTCCATCCAGGTCGAGGAGACGTGGTTTTTGACCACAGACCTGTTGTAACTGCACTACACACATCTAATCCCACCTGTTGCATCATATGTATGTAGTAGTTGTTTTATTGTTATCTATGATCACAGATCTTTATTTTGGGACAATGTTACATTCAGTGAGAGGTAGAGATCTACTGAGTTACTATTACTACATGCAAAATTATTCACTGCAGAAAATTGTCAGTTGTGACTGTTTTACTATTAGATATATTATTCAGACAGTTTCATTTTCACCTGTCATACAGTTCATTCAGACGGTATCATTGCTCTTCACTGTTTTCATGTTATGTTCTTTTATACTGAAATATACACTCAATCCTCCATAATGACAAAGTGGAAACAGAATTTGAGAAATATATTCCAAATGTATTAAAAAGTAAAAACTAAAATATCATATTGACATAAGTATTCAGACACTTCATCATGACTCTGTAAATGAAGTGAAGGATTGTGTTGGGGCTCAAAAACATTTCTGCTGCATTGAAGGTTCCTCAGAGAACAGGGGTCTCCATCATTCTGACATGAAGAAGTCTGGAACAGCCAGGACTCTTCTAGAGCTGGACCTGGACTGACTGAGACATCAGGGAGAAGAGACAGCCCAAGAACCTGATGGTCTCTCTGAGTTCCAGGGAGAAACCAGATTCTCTGGTCTGATGAAACCAGGATCGAACTGTTTGGTCTCAGTTTTCAGAGTCATGTCTGGAGGAAACCAGACATTAGGTTGTTCTTCTGGAACTTTCTCCATCTCTACATAGGATCTCTGGAGCTCAGAGTGACCATCAGGTTCTTGGTTCTTGGTCCTCTCTTACCAAGACCCCTCTCCTGAATGTCTCAGTTGGTCTAGGTCCAGCTTTAAAAGCGCTCTGGTTGTTCAAGTGCATAATTTAAGTACAGTACTTGTGTAAATGCACTTACTTTACTCTCCACCACTGACCATACGCTCACGTTATGTCATGTTATGTTAGGTTTCTCTGTAACGGATTACAGCTTTAAAACCATTATCGCTCACACTAAGCCACCGTGTGGAAGTGACTTCAGGCAGTTTGTGTTAACTGCAGGTTTAGGAGCTGAAACACAATCTGTGTGAGAGCAGAGTGACCTGTAGAGTCCTGACCAGCGACATAGAATCATACTCTCATTAAGTCATTGGTTCTTCCTGCTGATAGAGCAGCTGACACACCAGCTCATGATGACTTAGGGGCTGATCTGAGATCAGACTGTAAATGTTATAAAAGCAGGAAACAGTGAGTCAGATGAAAGCTCTGCATCAACCACTGATCATGAAAAACCAGCAGGAATATTTCTCTCCATGTAGCAGCTAGCAAATATTCACTGTGTTAGAATTCTAACAAGCAGAGATTCGTGTGTGTGTGTGTGTGTGTGTGTGTGTGTGTGTGTATGTGTGTGTGTCCATGTGTTCTTTTCTCATGTTAAACTTCCTGATATGCTCTTTCCCATTAGCTCTCCCTGTGGTCTGTGATCTATTCAGAGAAAATGTCATGGGAAGCACAGGCTACAGAGCAGGCTGTGGAAACTCTGAGGGTCTATTTTTACATTGGATTAAAGTGGCTTAGTTTACTGTATTTCTCTTTCATTCCCACCTCCAGCTGCTCCTTGCTTCACTGATGAGACACATATATAGATAGAACTCTCTGTATAATGCAAAATACAAAACATCTCCTGCAATGGCAGCTCTTAGCTGTCAGTTATCCGTTGCCATGTAAACATTCACAGGTGTTTCCAAGTGTTTCCAGGCTACTTGGACTAAGACTGAAAACAACCCTGCATTAAAACACGCACGGTGCTGCTGGTGGTCTAAACACAGGTCAACAAACTCTGATGTTTTCTGTCGACTGGACTAAGAGAGAGAAATGTCAATGTCAACCAAGACAATAAGATCAGATATTATGAGTGTGTGTGTGTGTGTGTGTGTGTGTGTGTGTGTGTGTGTGTGTGTGTGTGTGTGTGTGTGTGTGTGTGTAGCTATCTGAGGTCTGTGTGAAGGACAGATAGTAAAGAGAGACCACAGGTCTGACTGTGCTGGTGGTCTGACCTGGTCTGGCGTCTGCTGGCCCGTCTTCTGCAGGGCGATGATGGCAGTACGGAGGGGGTAGCCCCGTGCTGTGATGGCCCCCAGCAGCTCCCTCTCCTCCGGGCTCAGAGCTGACAGGAGCTCTGCTGACGAGTCCGAACCAGACGAAGGGAGACCCCGGGGGGCTGAGGTCACAGGGGAGTTTCTGCAGGAGTCTGGACTGAGAGACAACTGTGAAACAACAGACTGTAGTGAGTGTGTGTGTGAGGACAGAGAGACCACTCTGCTGAGTCAGTCACACACATTTAATGTGAATGTCTCACATTCTTTGTGTGACTCTGACAGCAGGTCGGAGCAGGTTGACCCTGAGATGCAGCTTTGCTGCGAAAGTCATTTTCAGAGGACTTCCACCTGCTAATCCTAGTGAAGCTCTTATAACCTGGCTGGATTTGGGGAGCAGACTTTTCACAGTGTATTTTTAGAGTCCAGATCCCTGAAAACATTTTGGAAATGTGAGCTGAAAAAAAGAGATGGTGAGGATAGATTTCCTCTTCCAGCTAACATAGTGCTGACATTCATAGAAAGAATTAAAGGGCATTCAAAGACTTGAGGGTTATTATACTTTCAAGGGTCAGACCTGAAAATAAACCATTGTGCTGTGTTGTGCAGTGAGGATTCATAATGGAGCCTGTCTTCTTCCTGGCTTATGTGAGGAGATTTATAGAATGGTTCAGGAAAAGATAACACCCTGAGCTTTAGGCTGTATTCATAGTCAGAGTGAAGGCTATCTTTACAGCAGACAGACAGCGCAGCATTAGATCTCCTTCAGCCACACTCTCAGTTATGAGGCCATGTGGATGACGCAGCATAAGACTGTTGCATGCGGACAGGTTGTAGGGCTTGTAACTTTATCCTATATAATACAGTATGACAGGTCGTAGGATGTATATTAGTTTCATAGTGTAGTCCTCAGTTGTTTCTTGAAACAGTCACTGTTATGTGCCAGGCAAGGGCAGGCTGTTTGTTTTTGTTTTCTCCCTCTCTCTCTCTGTCTCTCCTTCACTTGGTTTCCCTCCAGGTGCTGATTGGTGATTGGGCTCCACCTGAGCAGACTAGTGGAGGATGGCTTATTGAGCTCCTGGCTGTCCCAGTGGCCAATCATCTGCCTCGAGTCCTCCAATAAAAGGGGAGCTTGAATGAGGAGGTCTCTCTCTCATTTTGCCAGATAGTGATAAGCCTGCCAGTTGTGTTCATGTAAAAGGGATGTACTGAAGGTATGTGGTGGGAGGAAGGAGTTAGGTGAGTTGGGGTACCCTGTACATCTCAACACGCAGTTTTCTTTTGTCTAGAAACATTAGGTTAGTGGTGGGTGCCACCTGCTGTATTGTTTTGGAGGCTCTTTTCTTAGATTAGGTAGATAGGTTTTCTTTTGTGTGTTTTTGTTTCAGTAGATGAAGATAGCTTGGGCCTCATTTTGTTTTATTGGGTTAATTTCTTTGGCACCCCACCTTTGTCCCTTCCTCCCCCACATTTGACTGACTTGTTGAGACCTTCAGGGTGCAATAAACTACCTTCTAGTACTCATTGACTCAGTTTAATTCTTGATTTGTCACGTTACGGTTCCTGTCAGCCCTAGCTCCAACTAAGGGACGTAACAGTCACTATGAGGTTGAAGTGCTGCATTAAAGCCGCTCTAATTCATAATTTCCTATTAACAAAGGATGAAATAACTGTGTGAAAGTTGTTGCTCGTAGTGATGAACACACAGATGTGGTTGTGGTTCATTCTCAGCCCTTCTTCAGATCCATCTTACTGCTAACACATGATGCTGTGTTGACAGCTTGTTGTTCAAATGTGTTTCACCTTTACCAGCAGCAACATGATGAACACATTAATAATAAGAGTATAATTTGATGCCAATACTTCTGTTCTTCTACTGAAGTAAAATGTAACAGAGAATGTCTACACTGTTGTATACTCAGCACTCATGAAACAATCACTGAAATCATCACAAAATCATTGCTAAAATTATCTGTAAAATCATGGTTGAAATCATCACCAAAATATTGCTAAATTCATGGCTAAAATCATCAGTAAAGTATGGCCAAAATCATCACTACAATCATAGCTAAAATCATCACTAGAATCTTGGCTAAAATCATTGCTAACATTATCAGTAAAACCATAACTAAAAGTATCTGTAAAATCATGGCTAAAATTGTCATAAACTCATGGCTGAAGTCATGACTAAGTGTAATAAAAAAATCATTGCCAAAGTCATAAAATAAGTCATAAAATCATTTTAAAATTATGGCAAAACCATGTCCAATAGGGTAGCAGTCATGTAATCATCCATCTTGTAAACAGGTGAACAGTCAGAGTCGATGACTCACCTGTAATGTTTCTTATAACATCTCGTCGTACAGTAAGATCATGAGAACAACTACATTTTCATTTGTTTTCTGTTTCCAACCTGTCAAATCAGCTGATCACCTGACTACTGTCTCTGGTCTTGTTGTCCTGATGGATGTTTTTATAGCAACGTTTAGCTGCGTTCAGAGACCTCAGTGATAACTCTGGTGTTTATCCTGGAGCTATGAAAAGGAAAGTCATGTTGTAGAAAACTGTAGTTTACATGTAAATAAATGACTTTGTTATATAAACCATGGTCCTCTATACTTAGGAAACACTCCCTACTCTGCTTATCGATTGAGGATGTAAACACTTTCACATTAAAATACAAAGTCAACACTTTGTCCTCATTCACTCACAAGTCCATTGTGTCAGACTATGACTTCAAATGGCTGCTGTGAATAAAACTGGAGCACCACTGGTCACAGATATTAAACTGTTTGTCTCTTACTGTTTTGTGGTTGGTAATGCTGGGGAGCTGGTGAACTGTATTGGCTCTGGTGGTGGGGGTCCTGTTGCTAGAGGGTCTGTGTGAGGACAGGCTCTGGCCTTGGCTGGGTGCATTGGGATTATGTTGTGTTGACGTCTCCAGCGCAGAGAGGGAGTACTGTCGCAGGTTCTTCCTGCGCTGGTGTGGCAGGCTGCTCAGACAGGCCGGAGGGTTGAGCAGGTCTGGGACGAAGGCTTTCTGCTGACCACGCTGATTGGAAGCAGTGGGACGTTCTCCACTGGAACTCCTTGTCACCGACACACATCTCTGGGCTTTCCATGCAGCTGTCTCTCCTTTGTCCTCAGATTCTGAGATGGTGAACTTGGTGCGCAGGACAGCGGGGTTGAGGCTGCGAGAGCGCTGTCGAGGGTTGGGCTCCCAGAAGTCAGAGCTGTGGCGGCTGGCCAGGCGGCTCTGCTGAGGGCTGCTGAACATCATCCAGTATGGAGGACAAGATGGCAGAAGTCCTGATGAAGAGGTGGCGGGCTGAGGCCGGTGCTGGCTGGTGAAGCCATTCTGCAGCCCAGTGAGCACCCAGTTCTCCAGACTGAACTCATACTGTCACATGGAGAAACAAAACGTTACCGACAGAAACAGTTCCTTCAAGTATCTCTATACTTATAACATTAATACAATACAATCACTGATGCTATGTTGTCTGTACATTAGCATGGACTGTGAGTTAGTCTGTTGGACGAGAACTGATCTGATGTGTAATACCTCAACACCTGGTGCAGGTATCACCAACACTAGCTCAATGCTAGCTCAATGTTAGCTCATGGTGACATACAGCATGACTAAGAGTCTAAATGTTCATGCTAACATTTGCTAATTAGCAGCAAACAGGCTGGTGGGAATTAGTTTTGCAGGTATCTGGTCATAATGAAAAGAACTGGACAAATGTAAATGTTGACCTGATGATGGCGCTAGAGGAAAAGTCAGCGCATGACCAGAGTTATTACAGTTCAGCATGGGGAGCATGAATGAACCACATCTCATCCACATCCAACAGTTAGAGGGCCACAGTAAGAATCATTGACTGAGATATAGTTCTTCATAAAGTTATAAATTTGACCTGCTGGTGGCGCTAGATAAAATATCAGAGGGTGTCAAGGCTGATGAAGTACAGTTTCACACATCCACCAGTGGAAACCTTAAAACCCCAAAACATGGGGGTAAAAGTCTAAAACCACATCAGCAGCCATTCAAGTCCACAATAAGTCCACGACACACTGTTGAGAACAGCACCCTGACTGTCTTGTAGAGTTTGTGTGTTGGGTGTTGCTAAAGGAAAGTGCACACCTTAATGGGTGCAGCAAAACATGCAGTGAACACTGACATAACATCACCTTTAAAGTTGACATGATTATTCAGTTGAGTCATGTGACTCAGGTCTCTCTGGTGATTACACTTTTTATAAAATATTTTGATCGGTTGAACGTGTGACATTTCATTGATGGTAAAGCTGCATTAATTTTCTTTGCCACATGGGGACAGCAGTGTGTGGTGGTAGGACAGAGCACACGGACACACGCTGCTGAGGTAGTGTGTGTCACACTTACACACATAGTGAACATATGGAGACAAAAAGAACACCACACTCACCTCCGTCTCCTGCAGGATGGTGAGATAATCAGGGACAATGACTCTGACGTCTTCTCTGATTTCCTGTAAGATAGGCATCTTCAGAGGAACGCCGTCCATACTGCTCAGTTCAGAGACACACACACACACGCACACACATGCGCACACACATGCGCACACACAAGAGACTTGATTTAACTTGGAAGTGTCGGGGAGACATGGAGACACAGCAAAGTCTAGATGAGACCAGAACTATTTCACTACTAAACACTATTTGAGGAAACAGCTAAAAGCTACATGTACTCGTTCATTTGGACCATTAGGACTCTCTAATATGGCATTACATTCCTCTAACTACAGCTGTCTAATGAAGCTATAGGTCCATGATGGAAGTATTCAATATTCAGTATTACAGCATAATTTGTAGAATAGCATCTAACTGCAGCATGTTTTGGATCTGGTATGACATTGTGTTTTATTTCTCATTAGACTATTATCTTGTAAAATGGTGTCTCATAGTTTAGTAATTAATTAGAGTACAATTTGGTGTAATAGTGTCTAAGTGTTCTCGTCACAGCATAAATTAGGTGTAGCCTCTAAAAGGGAATAACTATGTTTTTTTAATGTCTAATAAAGAACATATTATTCATAGTTTTGTCTAATTTGATACAAACTACGGTAAAATAGTTAGTGTACAGTAAAATAAAGTGTGACTTTCATCCTGCATGAGTGTGTGTTGCACTCAAAGAGAAGTGAGAGTGAGACAGTGAGAACTGTGGATGCTTCAAACTCCCACACAACAAGAGCTCAGCTGACTGCATCAGGGTCAGAATCCGCCCATCACTCACAGTAGACCAGGTCCTTGACCCACCCATCACTCACAGTAGACCAGGTCCACAAACACAGTGAGACGTTGAGACATATAGATCTGAGAAAAGCTAGAAGCTAAACCAGATTTGCTTTCCCAGAATTCCTGTGTGCTTCCACCTCTGCCTTTCTATATCTGTGGAGTGTTACACAATGAAGAGCGAATGATGTGCAGGGATTACAACAGATTACAACACTGTGTTTACATGATGCAGCAGGACACTCAGTCCAGGTAACATACAGACTCGGGCTCACTGTGCATTTACATTATAAAAACATGAAGTGTTTTCAGATGAGGCTTCAGTCAAACTGACGGTCCGAACCATAAGGCAAAGGCAGACTGTGATGAGCTAAACCTGCTCAGGGTCCCTGCTGTCCTCAGAAAGTTAATCACATATTTGTTCCAGAAACACTCAAACACCAGGCAGACAGATGGTCCAGGACTTACTCCCGCAAAGAGGACAGATGCTCCATAAGCTCATTGTGTCTCTGACGTGCGAAACACAAACATGCTAATTATTGACATGCTAATGCTACCAGAAAAATAACATCCACTGTGTGAGACCAGTTCCCCACAGCCCAGTTTAAAGCCAGTACCAGACTTCCTTTAAGAAAAGACAGAATATTTTAGGTCTAGAATTTTAGGTCTGCAGAATCTCTATCATATCCTAAACCCCTTCGTACAACCTTCTGACGTTCTATTAATGTCAGCACAAAGTTTTATTTGTTCACTTCCACTGTTTTATGTATTTTACCCATTTACATTATTTTTAATGTATTATAATGTTGTATTTTATGAATTGGTAACACATTTTTAAAAGTTCTATATCAATAGTTTATGCTTCTCATAATTAAATGTTTCCACAAACAGAACATGTGTAGGTGTTTTTTTACTCTTACCAGCAGACTTCTCTTCAACTGTCAGATTAACCAAAGACTCTGAAGCCTTCATCATCAAATCGTAATGTGTTTAACAGGAGGAGTAATGGCTGGTATTTAGACTTCTCTTATTTTATGCCTTTGAAGAATGATGAACTACAAGTTCACTCTAATCTCTAGAAAAACTTACAGCTGAACTGTTTTCTTATTTAAAGTCTATATCTGAATATTAAAATGAAGAAATGTTACCTACCTGTGTGTCGGAGCTGTAGTGACACTGGATCCTCTCAGGTGTGTGTGTGTGAAGCTTCACTGGACTGCAGGTTAAATTAGAGAAGGTGCTTTAAGGAGAACCACCTGGAACATTAATCTATTGACCTACAGTAAACCCCATTAGCTGATTTACTGTCCACCCACACAAACACCACAGAAGAAGCCAACAGAGAGTAAAGTGTGATCATAGCTGATGACAGTATGACCCTGCTGTAAACTCTGATCTCAGGTCAGCTGGAATTTCTTTCTTATCTATTGATCATTGTTTGTGAAGAATTAACTTTGAGCCTCACTATAGATTCTGTATAGAAAACATGATTCTGTACGATCAGAGCGTTTGTCCCTGTGGGCGGAGCACAGGTTCATCTGCTCACATGTCCACGAGTGGAGTAAAAACTCCTGACTGCTGATGACTTCCTGAGCTTTCGCCTCCAGATACTCTTCACTCGGTTCTCCTTTGACCCAAACCACGGTTCTCATTAATAAACGGCTTTGAATAATCACAGGTCCAGATATCAATAATCAATATTTTTATATTAGCAATGGATCAAATTATTGTGTCAATGTGAAATGAGTCTGTAGTAGTGATGAACCTGCAGCTCCCTCGGGTCTATAGAGCTTCATACTGAGTTTCAGCTCACTGTTTATCTGACTGGACACAACAAGAAAACAACAACACGTTGGGGGGTAAATAAATCCACGCCTTTATTTCCTCTTCTAATTTCTGAGAATTATAACAAAATAAACTAGGATTACCACCCTGTGGTTGTCTGCTTCCGCCACTCAGACTAGTTTCAGATTACAGAGTCATAAAAAAATATGTGTTTCCTGAGGGTACCTTGACCTTTGACCACCGAAGTCTAATCAGTTCTTCTTTAGTGGACTAGTGGACATTTGTGCAAAATTTGAAGCGATTCACTTGAGGAGTTCTGGAGATATTACGTTCACAGGCCAAAATCATGTTTTGTGAGGTCACCGTGACATCGACCTTTGACTTTTGACCATCAAAATCTAATCAGTTAATCCTTGAGGCCAAATTTTTACCAAATTTGAAGAAGTCCCTGAAGGTGTTACTGAGATATCGTGTCCATGAGAATGGGACAGACGGATGTAGGTACAGATGGAGGGACAACCCGAAAACAATATGCATGTGGCTCTGGCCGTCACCGGCGCAGAGGAATAAAAAGCTTCCAAAAACAATATGTTTTTATTACTGAGATAAAAACTGATGAAATATATGAACAAAGCTGGAGAGATATTCACCTTCTCCAAAACTACAGGAAGCAGCAGCAGCTGTTTATCTGTGAAATAAAATATATATGAATGGATTTAGGTTTTCACTAAATAAAATGTCCCTGCAGTTTCTGTTCTAAATTTTCTCAGGAGGTTGACATCCATCATTTCACCTTTGTACACCTGTGGACTGTGTACATTGTATGCATAACTGTCAATGTCTCAACCAAACAACAACATGAACTTGTTCTTACTTTTTATTCCGTGCTGAGTCAGAGTCAGTGAATAAAAAATCTGTGTGTTGAGATTAGAACCTGGTCCATCTTTAGTACAATGATACCACAACCGTCATGTCCACGTCCTCCTCAGCTGGCTTCATGCTAACAGGCTTCACACTCAGCTGACAGGTGTACTTCAGGCTCTAGTTGACAGTACATCCAGTGAGTCAGGGTCTGTCTCAGTCCGTGTCAGCAGTCTGCAGGGCAGAGGCCCAGTCCTGGTCTGACGGGAGGTCTGGCAGGACCCAAGTCTGGGGAAGTGGAGAACCATCTGGATGATCTGCTGCAACCACAAACACATCCCACTGTCTCCTGAAAGAGAAACACATCAGTCAGGACAAGTTGTTCTACCTTTATTTCATAGGTCCAGGGTCTGAAGGTGCAGTCTGAGGGTCTGTACACAGAGGCAGTCTGTACACAGAGGCAGTCTGTACACAGAGGCAGTCTGTACACAGAGGCAGTCTGTACACAGAGACAGTCTGTACACAGTCTGTGCTGTGAAAGGTATAAATACAGCACCTGCTGTGAGACAGCCTGGTGCTGCCATTCTTAACACGACCCCCAGATGGTACCACAGCTACAGAAGATTCTCACATGAGGGGCTTTAGTGACAGAAGTGAAGTACTGATTGTTTCACCCTGTCTACTGGACTCAACAAGCTTCACAGTGTTAACCTGCTCTTTCTCTACATCTACTACATTTATACTGATGTTTGACCTGTCAGATATATCAAGTCACATCCCAGGGACATCAGGTCAACCTGCTGGCTGAACACAGAGAGATGAAAACATAATAGAGGATTGTGTCTGTGAATGTTCTCATTCGTCCAGGTCATTCATGATGAAGCCGCTTGGATACGAGGCGAAACGTCTTCCACAGACAAATACAAGTCCAGTTGCCTTCGAATTAATTTGAGAGAGAGATAACTATGACCTGGACGAATGAGAACATTCACAGACACAATAACGATTTAATTTGAGAGAGAGATAATAGAGGATTAATAACAATTCACCTCTGGTAACATGTTGAAAGGATGAACCTGGTTTTCTTTCGGAGTTGAGGCTTTCACAACAGAAGCTGCTGCATGCTGCACACATTATAAAGGTGACTGTAGAAATCAAACTGACCTGATCTGTATTAAAGCGTGCAGTGAGTGTTGAGCCTGGGTGTAATATTCTCTGAACGGCAGCAGGAAAGAATCAACAGGAAGCTCATCTGTGGAGCAAACAAAATAATGAAGCACAATAAAAACACACACGTGACTCAGTCCATACTGTTGTTAAACTATAGTGTCACCTCCAAACAGCATGACATCCACTCTGTGCTTCCTGTGCAGCTGTCTCTCTCTCTCCTTCTTCACCCGTCTCTCCCGCTCCCTCCTCCTCTCCTCCTCCTGCTCTCCTTCCAGCATCACCATCAGAGCTTTCTCCTCCGCTGAGTAAACCATCGTCCTCCTCTTCATCACACTCCTCAGCTGCTCCAGTCGACGGCCAAACGCCTCGTCACAGTCCTGCTCTGTGACAATCCCTGCGCGCACACACACGCACGCACGCACACACACTGTTGACTCACACTAAAGTCTTTTCAGACCTGCAGCTCTTCACTTTCATCTGAGGCCAATTTAACATGTTGGTCACATGAATGGAAATCTGACGTCAGACCTGAAACATTTCTGACACCAGTCTGAACTGAAAGGTTAACATGAAGATTACAGCAGCACTAGGTGGAACATGTGGAGATTAAATGTGTGTCTTGTTCCTTTAATAAAACTGTTATCTCAGTCTCATTGAATCAGTTGAATAAACAATGAGACATTGTGAAAGAATCTGCAATAATAATCTGACTATAATAATAACAATAATGATAATAATATGTCTCTGTTATTTTAATCCTCCTTCATGCTGACTGTGTGGATTCATTTACTACATGAAGGTCCAGTAAAACTCATTATATACAGCATGTTCTCCGTCGACTTTGTAAAGCAGCAGCAGCAGTGGATTCAGGGCCCCTCACACTCACAGTTATGATCGATTAAAGCTTCAACAGTTTGATAAATTTGAAATCCCATGGTGATGCAGTGATTCTCCATCACTTTAACATGAAGCCAGCCTGTGGTGAGACAGGGGTTGGTGGTTCATTGTCCTCCGTGTGGCTGCAGACAGAGGTTCCTCTCACCTTTCCTGGATGCTGCCTCTTTCCTCAGCCTGCGTAGCTTCTCCAGAGATCTCAGGATGTCCTGCATCCTCTTCACATCGGCCTGTTTCTTCCTGACCTCACAGAGAACGGTGTCTGCAGCCAGCTTCAGCTCCTGCTCCTGGTGCACAAACACAAACAGTCCTCACCATTCATTATGCTGCTCATCATTCCTGTGACAGAGCTACTATAGTTCACTGTCACCACATCTACACCAACGAGAACACGTCACACATCGGATGACCTGAGAACCTGAGGTTAGAACTTAGGTTTTGAGGGGCGTCGTGTGGTGAGTGGTCTAAGCAGGCGCCCCGTGTGTAGAGGCTACAGTCCTCACTGCAGTTGGCCCCGGTTTGAGTCCCGCATTGGACGGCCTTTACTGCATGTCATTCCCCCTCTCTCTGCCTCCCCATTTCCTGTCTCTCTACTGTACTATCAAATAAAGGCATAAAAAGCCCAAAAAATATACTTAAAAAAAAAAGAACTTAAGTTTTGAACGTCTTAAGGTGTTTGGAGCATCAATGCTTCCATGCTTTTAAGTGCGTCAGAGATTTACTTCAGCTGACTGCGCCTGACTTGGTGGTCAACGTGAGCTGCTGGTGACTTCAGGGGCGGAGTATCAAACGACTGCAGTCAAGTCAGACACAGTCTACTTCCTGTAGCGAGCGTTCACCTGAGTCACAGCAGCAGGTTGTTCACACAGCTCACTGCGGAAAAACTGTTACAACTCACAAACTGCATATGGGGGGAAAGGTCACACATGGAATACCTGCTAGACCAACACTTATTTAGAGATAACAGGTTTTATTTATTTTTTATTGAGAACCATAGGCTTGAGAATAAAAAACCAGGGCTACCATGTTGTCAAGAGGTGAAGAGAAATCTAAAGAATAACAAATAAAAAAATTAAAAAATTACTTCTTTTACAGTTACAAACTCGGATCTAAACTCTGTTTTACAGCTTTCTTTTCCCCTTTGGTAGAGATAACGATAAAAGAGAAGTACATTTACTTGTAGGTACTTGAAAGTATATTTTCCACTTCTTTTTTTGTATGTATGACTTTTACTCAATTACACTTAAAAGAAAAATATTGTACTTTCGATTCCACTACATTTCTATGAAGTACTCTTACTTTGAAGCACAGCTTTTAGTCAGTGGAATGAATTTTCTTCTATTTTGGAACATGTGATAGACCATTAAGCCAACTCATTAACCCCAATCGTAACTCGTCAGCTGTGACCCCATCTTTGAACCCTGTGATCTTACCTTCTTCCTCTCCTCTACCTCATGTATCTGCTTCATCCTCCACGTTTCTATAGCAGCCTCTCTTTCAGCGATGCGCTCCTGTCTGTGATCTTCCTCCAGCTGCAGCAGACCTCTGGCTCGCAGTCTCCGGGCCCTCCTCTTCCCCACACGGTTCAGTTTAGCTTTTAGTTCATTTAAATGGTCTCCGTGACTAAGGAGCTTCACTCTGTCCTGGAGCTCCTGTTTCATGTGTAAAACAGTTGGGTAGGAGTCTGCCCACACACCGTCATTCTCCACGTTGTGTTTCAGAGTTTGACAGGACTCCTTGAGTGCGGAGAGGAGCTGAGCTGCCCCGTACACAGCCTCTCTCAAGGCGTGAACACAGCTGTGGTGTGGCTGCTGCTGCTCCAGGGTCTGCGGGCTCTTCGACACTTTGCTCCTGCTTTGAATGAACCGTTGGAGCCACACGGTGTCCTGCCTCCTTTGTGAGGCGGCTTCATCCTCAGGCTGAGCTGTTATTGTTCCCAGTCTCCGGTGGTGGTCCTGACTAAAAGGAGGAAGCAGAGGGCCACCGAATAGGGTCCCAGCCTCACGGACATCCTCATATTCCTGCTGACGGTTCTCACCGGATCCTGACACCGGCTGAAAGTCACACTCGGGGGGGTGAGGACCAGCTCTAAGCTGCAGGAGGCTACCGTATGTGTTTACCGGTGCGGAGGGTACAGTGTTCGAGAAGTGGCCTGGGGAACGGCCGAAGGGAGGCGGAGGTACCGAGGGGTCAAATCCATACGGAGGGGCCAAGCGAGGCCATCCAAAACCCCCTCCTACGGGAGGCGGCGCGGGGTAATTTAATTCGTAGGCTCGATGACCCCCATATCCCGGTGAAGGAGTCCACTGAGGAGCAGCGTAGTCCCGCTGTGTCGATCCCGGTGAAGGTGCCCACTGTGGCGGTTGAGGAGCCGCACTGGTAGGCGGTGGCCTGTTGGCGGTGCAGGGGGTCTCCAGAAAGCCGCCAGGATAGACAAGAGGCGGCTGCTTCTCTGACGGACCCCGGTGCTGATATGAGTCCATGTTCACCGAATCCTTTTTTCTGTTCAATGATCGTAGATACAGTCACACAGTGAATTGTTTATACGTATACCATGGAAGTAGCCATGTTGTGGTGCTGCTGCTGCTGCTGCTGCTGCTGCTGCTTCTTCTTCTTCTTCTTCTTCTTCTAGCCCTTTATCGCCAACAGCCTGCAATGGCTAATGTTGGTACTGCAGCTCGACGTGACTAAAGGACAAATGTTTTTATATTTCATTATAAAAGTTACAGGCAATCTCTTCTGAAATCAGTTCAACTTAATATACTTTCAATACTTTTTATCTACTTCATTTACTCTATATGAGTATATATGCCACATAAACACCACATGAAAATGTTTTATTAAATTAAAATGATGAATCTCACCCCTTCCCCAACCCAGTCTACAAAACCCTCTCCCTGTCTGAAGTTTAGTAGTGTACAAGTATAAAGTATAAATTCCTCAAATAAAGTAATAAAATTAAACCGAAGTACAGAATAGGTTTAGTTACTTTGACCTACATGTCAAAGTCTGTTGTGTCTGAGGTGTCCTGTAAAAACTGATCAAGGCTGAAAAACCACCAGAGGAGCAGAGACTGTCCAGTAGCCTCCATGTCATTGTGCATCACTCTGTTTTTTGTAATGTGGTTTATTATCAAATGAAATTATCAGGACTATGTGTGCTGTCGCTGGACCTGCATTATTACCTATCTCATCTAGCTGTGTCAAAATCTACATTAGGTAAATACATCTGTCTTTTATTAATTACAAGGAATTCAAATCTTGTAAATCAGGCGTAAAAGTAGGAACACCTACTGCACAGAAACAACAATGTGCTCCTCTGTCTGTGTTTCTGCAGAATGTTCAGTCAAACAAAAGAAGATATAGGCCTACTCACTATATACTGAGTCTTTATCCATGTGTGCTACAACATGACACAATTACTTTATACACAGCTGGAACAGCTCAACAAACAAGGTGTTTGCACGTCTGTCTGCTCTCACAACAACCAATCGCTGGCTCTCATACATGAGCAGTCATGAAATTAAAACATTAAAAACAAACAGAAAAGGAAAAATAAATACTTTTAAAATGGGTTTCATTCCATTACTGATAATTTGACACAACAATACACCACAATACATGTCTGCCTCTGATAGACATGTACCTGCTGGAACTGGGGTAGACAGAGCCCATCACTGACGGATCAAAAGACCCAGAACATCAGGCAACAGACAGAATCCACGATGCTCCACACTCCGGAGCACAAGGTGGCGCTAAGGCACCCGACACACACACACACACACACACACGCACACACACACACGCACAGTGAGCACCAAACAGTGTGTGTGTGTGTGTGTGTGTGTGTGTGTGTGTGTGTGTGTGTGTTGTCTACGGTAGCTCGGTGGGCGGTGTCGGAAGCTTTGCGGAAGTGTGTGAAACAGGAGTCATATGACCAGGCAGCGGCAGAAAATGGTGCCGAGATGTGGATAAAACCCTGCGGACACGGTGACTAACATCCACGACCTGCACGGTAACAGCCCGTTAAACCATATTAATACACGGTGAACATGTTAATGACCGAGGCCTCACCGCAGTCTGACTGTTTACACTTCAGCTCTGATGGTAGTCAGAGGTTTGTTTAACAGGGGCACAGTGTCACTGTACAGTGTCTGTACACCCTGACTGTTTCTGTCTCTGACTGTCTGTCTCCATCTCTGGCTGTAGTGTCTGACTGTCTGTGCCTCTATCAGTAGTCTGTCTGTCTCTGTGTTTGACTCTGCTGTAGTCTCTGACTGTCTGTGCTGTAGTCTCTGACTGTCTGTGCTGTAGTTTCTGACTGTCTCTGCTGTAGTCTCTGACTGTCTGTGCTGTAGTCTCTGACTGTCTCTGCTGTAGTCTCTGACTGTGTCTGTGTCTGCTGTAGTCTCTGACTGTCTGTGCTGTAGTCTCTGACTGTCTCTGCTGTAGTCTCTGACTGTCTGTGCTGTAGTCTCTGACTGTCTGTGCTGTAGTCTCTGACTGTCTCTGCTGTAGTCTCTGACTGTCTGTGCTGTAGTCTCTGACTGTGTCTGCTGTAGTCTCTGACTGTCTGTGCTGTAGTCTATGACTGTGTCTGCTGTAGTCTCTGACTGCCTTGTACTGTCTCTGCTGTGGTCTCTGACTGTCTCTGACTGTGTCTGCTGTAGTCCGTGTCTTTCTCGTCTGTAGTCTCTGACTGTTTCTGCTCCAGTCTGTGACTGTAGTCTCTGACTGCCTTGTACTGTCTCTGACTGTTTGTCCCTGTCTACCTCTGTCCTCAGATGGAGGAGATTAAAGTGTCTCCTGATTATAACTGGTTCAGAAGCACAGTACCACTGAAAAGAGTAAGTACCTGATGATTTACACTGTTTACTGATGGTGTCGTCATTGAACACACTGCAGGTACACACCAACACAACATGCTAACAGAGTACTTTCATTAAACTGTCCAGACATATGAAATGAAGTGGTGTGGGTTCAGCCAATCACAGCATGTGTTCCTGAGTAATTGATGAGTATCTGCAGGATGAACAGATGTATTGATTGGTGAAATGTCACAGCTGTTTTTGAATGTCGAACCATGTAGATTCTTCTTTTAAACAGTTATCAGTTTGTCTTTAAACACATGGTTTAGAGTTAAAGCAGGAAATCAAAGATAAAACAGCATCTCAGTCAACCTGACACTGTTTATAAAAGTTTCTCACACCAACAGGTCAGAGAATTAAAATACTATAATATACTACAGTCAGGATTATTATTAATCAAATTTATTTATTTTCACATTTTCACATTTGATATTAATTATCTGACAGGAAATGATAAGCTCACAGCAGGAGAGAGAAGAGTGAAATAAAAATAAAATATTAAGGGAAGATGAAACAATAATAAATAAATCTGTGGAGGAAAACAGTAACAGGAGCTGTAATAGTACAAGAACAAATGGACTAAACAGTGGTTTCAGGAAGTATTCAGTTCCCTTCACTTTATACACATTAGATTATGCTGTAGATTTAATTTTAATTTAATGAAATTGTAATTTCTGTCCATCAATCAAACCTCCTTTATTTTTGATTCATGAAAAATCAAAAAGTGACAAAAGCATTCAGACTCTTTGTTCCAAACATTGGCCAGGGTTAGACAGAAGACACCGTGAGTAAAAGACATCAGACAGTTGGACTAACAGCATTTAAGTGACATGAGGGACAAGACTCTGGTCTGATGAGACTAAACCTGAACCCTCTGGACACCAGGTCCTGCTCATCACTTGGATAACACCATCCCTACAGTGAAGCATGGGGAGGAAGCATCATACTGTGGGGGGCTTCTCAGCAGCAGGGACAGGGAGACTGGTCAGGACTGATGAAGGATGAATGCAGCCAAATATAGAGAGGTGCTTGAAGAAAACCTGATGCTGCAGAGTCCAGGAGACCTGAGACTGCAACACTGAATCACCTTTCAGCTCCACAGTGACCTAAAACAAACAACCAACACAACACCATAAAGTCTTCAGGACCACTCACTGACTGTCCCTGTGTGTCCCAGTTAAAGTCCAGCCCTAAGCTACATAGATCATAGGCCCATAGATCAGGTCCGTGGAGAGACCCGAAGAGGACAGTTCACAGACACTTCCTGTCCAATCTGAGGTTCTGAGCTTGTAGAGACCCAAGAAGACTGAAACCCGAACTGCTGCTGAAGGTGGTCCAACGAAGTCCTGGATTAAGTTTCATTAGATTTAGACTAATGAAGAACAATGATAATTTTATCCATTTACAATTAAATCTACAGCATATTAAAGTGTGAGCGACTAGGAGGAGTCTGAATACTCTCTGAACTTAGTGTATTATTAAAACTGACTAATTAAGTCTTGAACTTCTTTGTTGATCATTTGATTTTAATCAGTCAACAGATATAAAACAATGAGATTTAATCACTGTCACAGTTTCTATGTGTTGACCTGATTCACTGTGTTCACTAGCAGTGTACCTCAGAACTGACTGCTATGAATAAGCTAAATGAATCTATGGCTTCAGTGTGGATTAAACAGAAATATCAGAATAAATACTGATAATTTTTAATGCTGAAGTCATGATGATTTCCCACTTCACCAGAAATTACACTTCTGAACAGACGGTGACAGTTGGAGGTTATTTAGATTTTACTACTTATGTTTTTTACATGAAATAATAATAATATTAATAAAAATAATATGTACCATTACATTTCAGTGTAGACACGTTGATGAGGAGCTCTAAACTGAAATGATTTAGCTGTACTGGAGAAGTTGCCATAGATCACCTCAGTAAATCCACAGTTCACAGAGTGAATGAAGACCATCAGTGTCCTGATGTATCGATTTTACTCTGATACTGATCAATCAAACAGTTTGAGAGTTGGCTGTGAACACATGAGTGGTTGATCATAGTCATGCAGTATGATTAGATTTACACACCTGTGTGATAGTAACAGAGTCTGTCAGTGTGTTTATCTCAGTGTGGTCTGATGTGACTGATACCAGTGTCCCAGTCAGAGCCTCGCATCCACCTTCTCTTGATGAATGAAGTTTCATTTTAAAAATAGTTTTCTGTAGTGTTCAATAGATTATGTGTTAATATGTTTTAAAAGAACGACAATGAAATAGCAGGATCTCAGTCCCAGTTATTCAACCCTCCTGGCTTCCTGAACTCATTATACTTTAATAATGTCTAATTATAATATGATTCTGTTCTTCCAACTATGTACAGTGGCAAGAAAAAGTAAGTGAACCCTTAGGAATTACCTCCATTTATATATAAATTTGTCCTTAAAAATGGTCAGATCTTCATCCAAGTTACAGTTATGAACAAACGCAATCTACTTTAACTAATAACACACAAATCATAGTTTTGTTCTTGTCCATATTGAAAACATCCTGAGGTCAGGAATTATCAAACCTGGAATCCAGTCAATTAAATAAGATTGGAGATGTGGGTTAGAGACACTTCAACTTCTAAAAAACATTTAGAGTTTGCTGTTCACAGCAAACATCAGCTGATGTGAACCAGGCCTCACAAAAAATAGCTCTCAGAAGACTTATGATCAAGAATCGTTGATTAGCATGAAGCTGAAAATGTCACAGAGTCATTGCAAAGAGTTTAGATCTTCATCAGCCTTCAGTCAGATAAACGGTCTATAGATTGAGATGATTCAGTTGTGTGGTTACTCTCCCTAGAAGTGACGTCCAGCTGAGAAGACTCCAAAAGCTCAACACAGATGATCAGTGATGTTAACAAAGAAGCTCAGAGTTACAGCTGAAGACTTAAAGGAATCATTGGAGCTGGTGAACAGCTCATGAGTCAAACATACATAGATCATGGTGCATGGTTACATGGTGCATGTTGTCCTGCCACAGACACCACAGAGGAAGCTGCTGCTCTCCAAAAAAACAGAAAAACAACAAAGTTTATAAAGTACTGTAATACACCTCAAGGTGCAACCTGGACACATCATCAGTGATGCTCCCGGGATCATAGGGTGTTTCGGGTCTCAGTCAGACACCCTCACCCGGGCGATCCAGCCGGGGGTGATCAGTCCCCCGACTTGTGTCCAGGTAGCGGACTACGCCCCCTCTTCAACCAGAGCCAACGTGAAGCTTTTTCAGATGCTTCCAGGATGTTTTTGATGGCTCTTCGCCTGTGCAGTCCACAAATCCCAAGGAGCCCCAGGACCCAGTGTAAGGACTTGCCTGCAAAACCCCTGCAGCCCACCTCAATAGGCTCGCAGCGGGCCTTCCACCCATTCCTCCGGCACTCAGCCACAAGATCTGCAATTCACCAAATTCTGCAAAAAACTGTGAATAAGGGCCGGGTGGTCTGTAAAGTACCACAAGATGAAATGGTCGTAGTCTGTCATCCTGGAGAGAGCCTCGAAAGAGTAAAGGTCGCTTCCCGTTTAGTCGTTAACATGAAATCTGATTTATAGATTAAAGCCACACCCCCACCTTGCTTAGTGGCTCGAGCAGCATGTGCATTAGTATCATCAGGTGGGGAAGCCTCAATAAGATGGTTTCTCTACTTTGATGTATATGACCTCCTTCACTCCTGTTTCAGACCACCTGTCCTCACTATCCAAAATATGTACACTGTTGTCATGGAAGGAGTGTCCCTAATCCTTCAGGCGTAGGTAAACTGTTGAGTCTTGACCTGAATGGTCCTCCTGTGTTGAGCTGTGTGTTTGGTTAGTGGTTGTTTGGGTTCATGATATATAGGTCTGAATTCCTCACTGCACAGGACTATATACACTACTTTTCTGGGTTTTTCAGTGTGCAGTCTTCAGGATGGACCAGTTTTTGTTGTAAGACGTATGATGTACAACGTATGGGTGATTTTTAAAAAAAAGTTTTTCAAGATTAGAAGGTGAAATGTCAAGAAATTTTGAGAGACAGATGTATCGCCCCGTAGAGGCAGAATATCCAGAGGTGTGACAAAGTCACATCAGCCAGTTGAATTCTGTTTGAAGTGAGACCAACTTGTTTCATCCTCACAGTGTATGCAGAAAAAATAAATCAAAATTTAAATAATAATAACAAATCAAGTTTTAAAGTACATAATTAAATAACAATTAATAACATATTAACTTTTTACCATATAGTAAATGCATTGGGGAGCTCATTGATGAAAAAAAATCTACCTCACTGCTGTTTATTGATATTTTCCTCCCAAATAATCAGCAAAGGTAAAGACTTCAGGTGATGACAGGTTCATGAAATGAAAAAAATAATAATGCAAAGGAAGGTTATGATGCTAAGCCCTTTTTTCCTGTTTCAGTTACAACTAATCCAGATTTCATAGTATGTTTGATTATTGTTATAAGTGTATTTCACATAAGGTAAAGGTAACACCACCAATTAGTTGAATCACTTTGACACAATCACATCTCTTTATATGAAGAGAGCATGGCTCAAAAACAGAGAGAGACCAATAAGCTCCACAGTAATCGATCATTAATTATAATCACGGTAAAAGTTCTAATCATTGAGATATTGATTTGAACTCAGCTCTACTACATTCTCCATACATTCTGTACCCTGATTCCATTTTCTGTCCACATTCTAATGTCTCTGAACTTCTGTGTTTTTACCTTCATGAAAATATGATTTCCTCTTTCCTCAAGGGATTTGTCCCACAGCACATGTTCATCAGGAGACATGGGTCAAATAGTCAACTATCACATGCCTGCACTAACTGTGTGACTGGGTTATTGGTTTGCACTGTATAAACTGTCAGCAGGTTTAATATTTAGGAACCTTTTTTGATGGCACTTTTAAGTTTTACACCCACAGAATTCCTTTTTCAAAAAAGCAAAGCAGCTCTTTAGCTAACGAGGGAATTGAACTCATATGATATAAGCAAGAGCATTTTAGAGACTCTTCTGCAGAAGTCTGGTGGAAGTGTTACTTTTAATGTATGCACATGGTATGGGTACCTGGGGTTGAAGACCACAGACTGACCAGTACAATGATAGGGGAAGAGCAGAGACAACTGGAGTGTAAATACAGACTGCAGGTGGAACAGAAAGCTCCACAAACTGTGTCTGATCCTGTTCATCATCATCATCTCAAAGAATTCACTACACTGCCCTCAGGAAGATGCTGCAGAGCTGCAACAGCAACCAATAACATTTACAGAAACTCCTTTAGATACAATAACTTTGTTGAACTAATAAACATCATTTGCACTACAATCATGTCATTCACTATTAATCAAGTAGTCTATGAAATATCAGAAATAGTGAAAACGCTCGATATTATTTCCCCAAGCTGTTTAAATGTTTATTTCACCAAATGTCTAAAACTAAGTATTCAGTTTACAATCAGATATTTTTCCTCCCATAATGTCAACAAGTGAATGTCCAGCACGAGTTAATCCTCATTTTTGATTAACATGTTGTTGTTCAGCTGTGTTGATCAACAACTGTTGAATGTGACATGATCGTCTGTGATACAGAAAATCATCTCCAGATGAATTAACAAAGCAAAATAATAATTAGCTTCAGTCACAGTCTGAAATGTTTCAGGAGATTGCTTTTGTTGAATGTTCATCAGTGAGAGAAACATCACATGACTCACAGAAAGGAAGTGCCTCCTGCCAGACACTTTCCCATTGATTTCTCATATCCATCAGTCCCTGATATGGATGAGACTCAGGACACAGTGAACCAGACCTGATGACTCAGCAAATCTGGGAGGCACTGAAAACTCAGACAGAGAAGTCACAATAGATGCCATAGAAATCCTCACAGCTATCATGTTATACCATCTCCAGGGCTTCTTGGGTCAGTCAAGGCTGACAGGTCTGTTTGCTCTTCCGGCTGCAGATGGTGGGAGGTGTGGTCAGTCCTGAGTTGGACAGAAAAGGCCTACAGGCTTTCAGTTACAGAGAAATAACTGTTTGGCTCAGCTGACACAGGATTTATCTAACATGCAGTGAATATAGACTTTTCTAGCCATGACGGCAGCTTGACCATAACACTGCAGACTGTAAGTAAAGAGGTCTTTTCTGTATGTGGGCTCCATCTTTAGTTTTGAAGCCAGTTTCAAAGAGACTTCAGGGTCTTCTCTCCTCACCGTGTTGTTTCTGTCTTCTCCAGATTATTGTTGATGATGATGACAGTAAGGTGTGGTCGCTGTATGATGCAGGTCCAAAGAGCATCAGGTGTCCCATTATCTTCCTCCCTCCGGTCAGTGGGACAGCTGAGGTGTTCTTCCAGCAGGTACTGGCTCTGACAGGCTGGGGCTACAGAGTCATCTCGGTGAGTTCATGTCTGAAAACACTGCAGCTTCAGCATGAGGCTCTGTTTTAATTTAGATTTTATTGGCAGACCTGGGAGTTACAGGAAAATCACACATACTCAGCAGACCCCTGTTCTGACAATTATATATTTAATTGAAATTAATACATAAATACATTTATTTTAAAAGATGCAGGAAAAGAAGAATGAACAACTTCCATGACATTTTCAAAAACAGTACATTACTTGTGGAACTCAACCTGACTGAAGTTTTTGTTTGGTTTAATAAAATGTGTCATATCAGATGAGCTGATCAGAAACACTGTGCTGTTTGCCATTACTTTAATAATCAGACTGACTGATGCTGTAGATTGAATGATCATTGATGACCCCAGTGATTACTCACTGGTCCTGCTGTGATGAACCCGTGTGTTTCCAGCTGCAGTATCCTGTCTACTGGGACCTCATGGAGTTCTTTGACGGCTTCAGGAAGCTTCTGGATCACCTGCAACTGGATAAAGTAAGATCGCCTGATCTCTCTGTGAACCAGCTTCAGGTGTCTGGCCATGAAGGTGTGACTGTGTGTGTCTGCTGTGTGTGTGTGTGTGTGTGGGGGGGGGGTGATCTAATGAGCAATTGTGTTTAAATACATCAATAAACATTTCAGTCCAGAATTCCTTTTTTCAGATTTACATTTCCCTTGTTTTTATCGAGCAGTAGGAACATAGCTACTTGTGTTAGCAGCTGCAGCAGGTAGGTTGTTGTAGCAGTCCTGCAGACTGCTTCATTTCCACCTTGTGGTTGCTTTTAAGAAATTTTAACAACTTTGCTCTGCTCAGATTTCCCTCAGTCCTTACTAGTCTCCCTGTCTCACAGCCTGATGCTGCCTCCACCATGCTTCATCATTGGGGTGGAGTTGTTCAGGTCCACCTGTTCGGGCCGTATCTGTCTGATGAGGATGATGACTTAGCTTTCTCTTGTCTCTTCAGGTCCACCTTTTTGGGGCGTCTCTGGGAGGATTCCTGGCTCAGAAGTTTGCAGAGTGCACACACAAGTCTCCCAGAGTTCACTCTCTGATTCTGTGTAACTCATTTAGCGACACCTCCATCTTTAACCAGACATGGACAGCCAACAGGTGGTGTTTCATGACTCATCACACATTCTCCCTTTGCATGTTCAGATTCATCATCAGTGTGTTATCTCCACCTTCCTCCTCAGCTTCTGGTTGATGCCAGCTTTTATGTTAAAGAAGATTGTTCTGGGGAACTTTGCTAAAGGGCCGGTGGACCCTAAAATGGCAGACGCAATCGACTTCATGGTTGACAGGGTGAGTGGACATCAGTGAGGTACTTTCTGTTAATTTGTCACTGCAGCGTGAAGAAGCTCCTCTTCTACATTTGAGTGTCTTACCATCACTCCTGCTAAGTCATCTGTATGTCATGTGAACAGAGGAGGCTCTGGTTGCTTTTCAGGCTCAGCAGAGGTTAAACATGCACTGTGTATGTTAATGTGTACAGGAACAGCCTTAGTCTTCTATCAAAGCTGACTGTCAGTGAGCTGATGTTCAGTCCACAACGCTCACACACAGCCTCACTGTGAGGGAACACACTGAGTTCACCAAGCTGGTCCAATTCTACAAATATTAATAATCAAGCTGCATTGATTAGTCGATAATCAATCAGTTTAAATTAATCTGTGATTAATTGTCTCAGTCATTTTAAAAAATTGTGTATCATATCATTTTAAATGAAATGTTTTGGGGTTTTGGACTGCTGATCAATATTTACTAAAATGTCATTGTCATTCAAGAAAATAAATGACAGATTAATTGATGATGAAACTAGTTGGTATATGCAGCTCTTAATAATAAGAATAAACATTATATTTACAAAGAGCTTACCAAGATATCACCTGTACACAAGTGAACAAAGAGTATACAGAAGTAAAAACACAGTAACATCAGAGGGTAGCAGATAGATCAGACATTAAACTAACATTTTACAAAGTGAGATTTGAGGAACCTGTTGAACACAAACAGACAGTGAAGTCATGGATGTGTTCTCTGGAGTGACCTCAGAGGGAGGAGGGGAAGGGGTGGGGGTCCTGCAGGGTGAGTCAGAGGAAAGGAGGTGAGTTAGAGGGAGTGTGGTGGTGGGGAAGATCAACAAGTAAATATAGTTTTCAGATTGTCTGAGAGTTTGTTTTTATTGATTGATTGATTTGATTTGATTTTGTTTCCTCAGTTTGTCCCCAGAGTAAAACTGTGGATCAGAGTGTTTAAAGTTCATATGTTCAGCACAAACAGAAAGCACCAGATTTATTGATTTAAACTGCAGTGTGTAGAGATGAAGCTTCACCTCTGTCAGACCACTGGTACTACCACTAAAATGATTATGTCAGAATTAAAGGATTTAATTACCGCTGAGCCTGATGGCTTGTGAGTTTTAATACCTGTACCCACCTGACCACATAGATATGTGTTAATCACCTGGCCTATCTCCCTGCCTGTCTGTCTGTCTGTCTGTCTGTCTGTCTGTCTGTCTCTTTCTTTCTGTCTCTCTCTATCTCTATCTCTATCTCTTTCTCTGTCTCTCTCTCTCTATCTGTCTCTTTCTCTGTCTCTCTCTATTCCTCTCTCTCTTTCTTTGTCTCTCTCTCTGTCTCTCTTTTTCTCTTTGTCTCTCTCTCCCTTTCTCTCTCTATCTCTCTCTCTGACTCTATCTATCTATCTATCTATCTATCTGACTCTCTCTCTCTATCTCTCTCTCTGTCTCTCTCTTTTTAATAAAACCTGTCGAGCTTGCTGACAGATAGAGATTAGTATCAGATTTTTTTCAGCCTGTTCACAGACCTTCAGATATTTGGTTTTAGTGGGACTTATATGGTGTAACTGTTTGATGATTAACCGGTGGATGTAGTGATGTAGTAGCTTCTCGCACCTTGAGGTTGTCAGGTGTGGTACAACTGTACCTGTAAAGAGCCCAAAACTAAAACCTGTACTCACTGACAGTATCTTGTAACCTGCACTGTATGTGGAGCTGCTGCAGAAACATACCAGGAGGATGGATACACTGTTGTTTGTCAAGAAATAGTTCCATCACAAACCTCTCCCTAAACCACTCTCTGCATTTTCCAAATCTTGAATTCTCCCTTTTACCCAGGTGACCACTTTGTTTCTTTAAGTATAAATATGTGTTCACGTTTGAACGTTAACCTCATCCATGTGTGTGTATGCTGTAGTTGGAGAGTCTGAACCAAAGTGAGTTAGCATCACGGCTAACACTCAACTGTCAGAACTCTTATGTGGAGCCACACAAAATAAAAGACATTGCTGTCACCATTATAGATGTAAGTAAGATCAAGTACACCAGCATCAATTCATGTCTGTTTCTACCACAACAACCTGATCTCTGTATTTTCTCTGGGAATGTTGTTCAGGTGTTTGATCAGAGTGCTCTGTCACTGGAGGCCAAGGAGGAGATGTATAAACTGTATCCTAATGCCAGACGAGCTCACCTGAAGACAGGAGGAAACTTCCCATACCTGTGCAGGAGTGCAGAGGTCAACCTCTACATACAGGTACGGTCGGTTCCCCTCTACATATAGGTACAGTCGGTTCCCCTCTATACACAGGTACAGTCTGGTCCCCTCTACACATAGATACAGTTGGTTCCCCTCTTTACTTCTACACACAGGTACGGTTGGTTCCCCTCTACACACAGGTAGGGTCGGTTCCCCTCTACACACAGGAACAGTCGGTTCCCCTCTACACCTCTACCCACAGGTACGGTCAGTTCCCCTCTACATACAGGTACAGTCGGTTCCCCTCTACATACAGGGACAGTCGGTTCCCCTCTACACACAGAAACAGTCAGTTCCCCTCTACCCCTCTACCCACAGGTACGGTCAGTTCCCCTCTACACCTCTGCCCACAGGTAAGGTTGGTTCCCCTCTACGCACAGGTACAGTCGGTTCCCCTCTACATACAGGTACAGTCGGTTCCCCTCTACACACAGAAACAGTCAGTTCCCCTCTACACCTCTACCCACAGGTACAGTCGGTTCCCCTCTACACCTCTACCCACTGGTAAGGTCGGTTCCCTTCTACATCTCTACCCACAGGTAAGGTCGGTTCCCCTCTACACACAGGTAAGGTCGGCTCCCCTCTACGCACAGATACGGTCAGTTCCCCTCTACATACAGGTACGGTCGGTTCCCCTCTATACAGGTACGGTCGGTTCCCCTCCATACACAGGTACGGTCGGTTCCGCTCTACACCTCTACACACGGGTGCGGTCGGTTCCCTCTACACCTCTACCCACAGGTAAGGTCGGTTCCCCTCTACACAGGTACGGTCAGTTCCCCTCTACACACAGGAACGGTCGGTTCCCCTCTACATTAAGGTATGGTCGGTTCCCCTCTAGACACAGACAGGGTGCGGTCGGTTCCCCTCTACACACAGGTACGGTACAGTCGGTTCCCCTCTACACACAGGTACAGTCTGGTCCCCTCTACACACAGGTAGGGTCGGTTCCCCTCTACACACACGTAGGGTCAGTTCCCCTCTACACACAGGAACAGTCAGTTCCCCTCTACACCTCTACCCACAGGTACGGTCGGGTCCCCTCTACACACAGGTACAGTCGGGTCCCCTCTACACACAGGTACAGTCGGGTCCCCTCTACACACAGGTACAGTCGGGTCCCCTCTACACACAGGTACAGTCGGGTCCCCTCTACACACAGGTACAGTCGGGTCCCCTCTACACACAGGTACAGTCGGGTCCCCTCTACACACAGGTACAGTCGGGTCCCCTCTACACACAGGTACAGTCGGGTCCCCTCTACACACAGGTACAGTCGGGTCCCCTCTACACACAGGAACAGTCAGTTCCCCTCTACATACAGGTACGGTCGGTTCCCCTCTACACACAGGTAAAGTTGGTTCCCTTCTACATCTCTATCCACCGGTAAGGTCGGTTCCCCTCTACATACAGGTAAGGTCGGCTCCCCTCTATGCACAGATACGGTCAGTTCCCCTCTACATACAGGTACGGTGAGTTCCCTTCTTTACCTCTACACACAGGTACGGTCAGTTCCCCTCTACACACAGGTAAGGTCGGTTCCCCTCTACACCTCTACCCACAGGTACGGTCGGTTCCCCTCTACACCTCTACCCATAGGTAAGGTCAGTTCCCCTCTACACCTCTACCCATAGGTACGGTCGGTTCCCCTCTACACCTCTACCTATAGGTAAGGTCGGTTCCCTTCTACACCTCTACCCACAGGAACGGTCGGTTCCCCTCTACATTAAGGTACGGTCGGTTCCCCTCTACACACAGGTATGGTACAGTCGGTTCCCCTTTACACACAGGTACAATCACAGAGAAAATCTAACCCTAAGTGCCTTCACCATCCCTGGTGTGTGTTTGCTGAACATTGTGCAGGTGCTGCACTGATTCCTGACAAATTGTCACTACATTAGTAACAACATACAAACATCAGAATTCTGACAATCACTGAATCATTAAGAATCCTTGTGAGTCCATTGTACCATTTTGCGTCTAGTGTGATGTGTCGTTTTAGTTGATTTATCTTTAGTTTTTTTGTGATATTACTTGTTGTTTACGTTCAGATTCACCTGCGTCAGTTCCATGGGACGAGATACGCTGCTATCAGTCCTGACATGGTGAGCGCGGAGGAGCTGGAGGTGCAGGAGAGTCACCTGAGCGGTAACCGGGACTCTGAAGATGACCAATGAGACGACATTCACCTGACAGCTGTTTCCTCTGAACATTTCCAACGGTTTCTCTGTCTCATTTCACAGCGTGTCTCCAGGTTTTCTATGAAACTCAACAGTCAATTAGCGACTCAACTGAGAATATTTTTATTTGACAGATGAAGCAATATTTTGATAATTACCTGTATATAAATGATACTTTACCGCCTGCTTTATAACACATACAACTCCTTGCCTTATGTTGAATGACCGATACTTGTTGCACTCATAAACTGCCTGAACTGTTGTCTGTGTGTAAAATACATAATGTGGTTAACGTTGCCAGCAGTTAACTGGTTTCCTGTTGACAGAAATATGAACACATTGGTTAAAGAGACATATCTGAACGTGTTTGTGTAATTCAATGAGATGAAATGACATTTTTTGACCATTTGTTTTGAAACCTTTACAGTAAATTTTTAAATATCATATGCGTGCAGTTGTTATTTCCTCTCATGAGTCACATTTTGTGGTTTGAGGGGTGATGAGTGTGTTCAAACATGAATGTTTCTGTCTCCATATCTGGGTTCACCTGTTGAACTTCACAACCTACATCATTTTAAAAACGCACTCTCACAAATATAATGATAAAATAATTGATGAAAGAATCAATGAAACAGATGTGCTGTGTATTTTACAAGGGATCATGTAAATATTCTTTATCCTGTGAGACATTTTCCCTTTTTAATTACTTTCCAGCACAAAAGCAGCTGAATGTGTGAAACGTGTTAGACATGTACAACCAAGAAGGAATAGCAAGATGTGTGGCATACATTTGTGATCGACACGGCTTTCACTAAATCCAAGTCTCTCCTGTTTCATTCCTCCTCCATTCCTTTACTGTCAGAACAGAACTGTATTTCTGTATAGAAGCTACTGCCAAGCATTTTGTGACAAATAACTGAACAACATACACGTTGTGTCAAATAAATAACCCTCACTGACTCGGGTTGAGTTGGTGTGGGTTGATTGTGATTTGTGCACAACTGTGAACTGAAATACAAGCGTGCTCTCTCCACTGATAGAGCAGCCCATTATATACATATAAATAAAAAACAGTAGCAGCATGTCATAGCTGCTTGACCTTTACAGCTCATGATTTTTATAAGTTTTCTGTAATAAAATAGATTAGATGTAAAATCAGCTTTTCTTCTCCAGCTTCTTCTGCAGAACCATGAGCATCATGGTGAATCATCATCACACTCGTGATGAAAAAGCTCACTGCTCCAGGCAGTCTTGGAGATCCCCGATTTCATTCAGAAGGCACAACTATCTCAATGCGCCAAGAGTAAGGAAAGACAGAATGGGAAAGTCCAAACCCTACAGTCACGAGCCAGTAACATTAGGAGAATAGAAGAACTTACCTGGCAACAAAAGAAAGATATCTTCACACAGGATGAAACATTGGACAGATGAGTTAAGAACAAGTCCCAGCCAGAGAAAGTTGATCTGTTAGTGTTCACAGCAACAGACTTGGCATGAAAAAACAACTTTACAGAAAATGGAGGCTGAACCACACAGGTTTAAGGAATTGGCACCCCCTTCCAATCTCACCATCCAGAAAAGGAAGACTGCAGTGTTACTTAGCAAGGACCGGAACATCACCATCCTACCAGCAGATGAGGGAAGATGCACGTTGTCCTAAACACAGCTGATTACAATACCAGGATCACCACACTACTCAGTGGCGCCATACATATGAAACACTGAAAGGGCCTCCACCAGTTGCTACAAGAAGGAAACAGAGTATTTGCTAAAGCTACAGAAGAAGAAACCATCAATCACCAACAGTATCATCCCTTGTTCCCTGGAGAAACCCTGGGTGACCCCAGAACTAAAAGCCCTATTGAAGGAGAAGAAGAGGGTTTTTAAATCCGGGGACAAACATGAGCTGAGGAGGGTGCAGACGGAGCTGAAATGGGAGATTAAATGAAACAACTGTAGAGGGCGCCATTTGAGAGGAATAGTGAAAGAATGAAGGAGCTGCGATACCAGTAGGTTCAGGTAAACCATTGGTGTGCACATGCTATATTACTGTATACAGGGAGTTTTACTGTCCTTCAATGATGCCTGTACCTCTTGAAGTTGTAGATACCCATGCAGTAAAAGCGGAAAAAATTTCTATTCTGATAACCAGTCTGGTTCTAGAATAGACTATGTAAAACTAACGTTATATTTTACTGTGTTACTATATAGAGAATGATGGACCTGGAGGGACAAGAACCATGCCATATTCTTGTTTTTGTGGATGAAGCTGGCTTCAGTCTATCCAAATGCAGGAGACGTGACTGCAATGTCATTGGCCGCCGAGCCACAATTGGCACACCAGGCCAACGTGGGGGCAATATCACAATGTGTGCTGTCATTTCTGAGAATGGTATGAGCACACATATTCCACACATTGGGCCCTACAACATCCAATTTCTCATGGCCTTCCTAGATACACTTTACAGAGATCTAATACCAGAACATGAGAGATATTTAGTTAGGCCAGATTTGACAAATTATGTGATTGTGTGAGATAATGTCAGCTTCCACCGAGCCAACGCTGTTAGAGAATGCTTTGCTGCACATCAAAGGATGAAAATGGAGTTCCTTCCACCATACTCCCTGTTCCTGAATCCAACAGACGAGTTCTTTTCAGCCTGGAGGTGGAAAAAATATGACCATGGGCCACAGGATCAGATGTCTCTGTTGAATGCCATGAAGGCTGCATGTGAGGATATCACAGGTGATCAATGCAGGGGATGGCCATGCAAGGAGATTTGTCCCCTGATGCATTGCAAGGGAAAACATCAAATGTGATGATGACGAAAATCTCTGGCCAGACCAACAAGACCGACAGGATATCCACGTAGATGAGAACTTATAGTGTTATGTTGCCTTCTGTGAAGAGGTACAAATGTTTTTGTTTTGTTTTGTTTGTTTTTTTACTAAACTGCCACAGGTTTTTCATTGTTTTTGGATGTTTTTTTTATTTTGTGGCAATCATAATCATGATGTAATTTGTGACTATCATGGTATAAAAGCATCTATACATTTTGACCAGTATGGCTCAAATGATAACAAAACAACTTTTCATTTTGGTGGCACTGGCCAATTAACTGACACAAAAACTAGGTTTTGAAACTTAATGAAATGTTTTTGGTGACTTACTACCTTTTGCAAACATGCAATAGAGTTTTGATAGATAGATAGATAGATAGATAGATAGATAGATAGATAGATAGATAGATAGATAGATAGATAGATAGATAGATAGATAGATCCCCTTGGGGAAATTCAATTGTCTTTGGCTGAGGTGTTGTATAGCCTGATGGCAGTGGGAACAAAGGATCTCATGAACCTCTCTGTTCTGCAGTGAGATGAGACGTTTGCTGCAGCTGCTTCTCTGTCCTGCCAGAATGTTGTGGAGAGGCTGGTTGGTATTGTCCAAGATGGCTGCATCTTACAGCGCATGCATCTCTCCACAACAGTCCTGAGTGTGGCTTTTGTCCTGTAAATTTCTCTATAAATTGAAAACATGCAGTGTTTGTTTGAGCCCCTGCAGTGTTTGGAGCCCTAATAATAGTGATTATGTCATGTGATTTTACATCTTTAAACACTGAGTTTACTACATCTGTTAAATTTGTTTTCATGACCTGACCTTCAAATAAACTTGATACCATTTAAAAGCAGAATGATCATGTCTGATTATATGAGGTCTCACCCGTCGTCTGCTGCTCCATCAATGTGATTGGCTGTGGCCATGTAGATTTATTAGACTAAATCAAGAAAATGAAAAGTTGATCAGCTGTTTTTTCAAATATTATTTTTAATATTTGGCTTTGTGGAGGACAAGGAAGTCATGTAGATTTAAATCCTCTGATTCATTCAAGTCCTGAGCCGTTTAAACACTTGCTATAATAAATGTTCCCTAACATTAAAGTGAAGGTGTGCTGAAGATGTGAATCACACTGTAACAACACATACTGAGGTTTCATCAGACATGTTTTAATCTTCAGGAAATTCATCATGTTCTCAGTTTAAACCACAGACTATCAATCTGATATAAAACCTCCTCCCTCAACCATAAAACACATCGTTAAACGGTAAAAAACAAACCAGAGGCACCGCGTGAAGATCACATCCAACTGAACATCAGTGCTCACCCACCTTCAGGATAACTTTTATTAGATCTGAAGCTGAAACAACAAAACTACAAAGTGCCGAGTGAATTTCAAACTAATAATGCACAAAAAAATTCAAACATTTAGCGTCAGGAACTCTAGGAATAAATAAGATAAAAGTTAAAAGGTGGATCCAGTCACTGTTACTGTGCTTCAAAAGGTCAGAGTTAGAAACACCATCAGCTCACAGCTGATCACACCACGCCTCCTGTCTTATCATCGTCTCTGCACAATGTGAAGCAGCAAAATTTGTTTCATGACAAACAGAAGAAATCAGCTAAAATAGGAAGCTTTCATCAAATAACCATTGCACTTTGGTGATGTTAAAAGACCTGTGTGAGTTCAGAGTGCTAGAGGGGTTTCTCAGTAAAAGAAGGTGCCAAAGTCGCCCATGCCATTGCGCTTGAACTGGTTTCCCTGAATGGAGACAAAGATCTGGTGGTCCATCAGATCCTGGACAGCTCGGCTGCAGGACTTCTCTTTGTTTCGGCTCAGCTGACGACTAAACTGCCACTTCCTGCCTGAGGTGGACGCCACGTCACCATCTGTGCCGTTCTCTGTGGATTCTGGCTGAGCAGTTGCTGAGCTGCTGGAGGTCGGACTTGGAGGATCTGAAACTCCTCCCAGCTGTCCATCTTCAGCTGTCTGTCCAGCAGGGTCTTTTGCAGGGTCTTCTGGGAACAAAAGGTCAGTTAAACACTGATGGTGTACAGCAGAGTGTTTTTGTGACTGGGAGCTGTGCCTACCCTCACTGTCCGCAGGAGCTCTGTGTTCAGTGCTCGGCTTCACTAGAATCACTCCATAGCCTTCATTGTTGTGGATCACATTGTTTTCCATGGTGATAGACGGCATCACATCCAGATCATCAGCAAAGTCCTACACACACGGACACACACACACGCATGCACACACGGACACGTTTAGTTGTTAAATCCAGTATAGTGTCTACACCACAAAACACGTGTGTCTGAATCACATGAAATACAACTTCTGTACTTTGCTTACTTAAATGTTCATGTACTTTTCTTTGTCTTGACAAATCAAAATATAACTAGAACTAGAATTTGAGGACAAAAATATCTGATTGCCTCCAGCAGCCTGACATTTGAGTGCTTATAATCAGTTTAATGTTTATTTAATAAATGTTGAAATTATTTAAATTCCCATCAGAGAGTTTATGATTCATTATGTGAACACTTTAATACCATCTGGCTTGAATGAAGAGTCCTCCTTTGTCTTTGTTTTATTTCCTTCTTTGAATAAATGTTGTTCAGAGTACTAGTAGTCCTATTGGCTGGTTGTCAGTCTGTGTGAGGAGCAAACATCTGCGCAGAGAATGAACTATGACAGTGTAGAGCTGCACAGTCTGTTTGCTGGTGACTCCTCAGTGTCTGTGTCAACACAATGAACCGTCTCTTCTCACCTTGATGAGGATCCCGTCCTTACAGTGATGGATACCATTACTGACCAGACTGCAAACACTGCCAGGGTAAATCTCCACACCAGCCCCCTGAACACAACACAGCAACATGACTGGCCTCAATCACAGTTAAAATCACTGTAAATGTTAGTCAATAAAATGGCAGAGTAGCAGCAAGTCCTTTGTAGCTTGTAGTTTTCTTTGCAGTATGTCAGTGTATTTTTTGTTGATTGATGTCTTTATTCTACATTGTTGTTTTGTCTGATATGGAGAAAATATTGTACATGAAGGAGGAACTCCTGGCTTTAAAGTGTACCAGATATGGAGTTAAACATCCCATACCGGCTGAGCTGAAGAAGCCGTACCGCGGATGCAGAACTAAGCTAAAGGCTAGGAGATGGAGATATAAACCTTTCCTACTATCGATCCTCATGGGAAATGTGAAATGTGCCTGCAGTTGCGTATGACATCATTCACAAGACTGTTGCGAGAGTACAGACCCAGCACCCTGATGCATTCATTGCAGTATTGGGGGATTTTAACCATGTCACTCTCACCTCTCACCTGACTGGCTTCACTCAGTATGTTGACTGTCCCACAAGGGAAAATAAGACACTTGATCTGTTGTATGCAAATGTCAAGGAGGCCTACACTGCTTCAGCTCTACCACCACTTGGCAGATCAGATCGTAATCTGGTTTTTCTTCAGCCTTCATACAAGCCCTGTGTACTGGGGCAGGCTGCAACCACCCGCTCATTCAGGAACTGGACCCCGGAGGCCAGTGAGTCTCTAAAAGACTGTTTTGAGTGCACAGATTGGAATGTCCTGTTGGAGTCACAGGAACATGATAAAAGCAAGGACCCTGACCTTGATAGAATGGTTGAATGTACCACGGACCACATTAACTTCTGTATGGACACTGTAATACCAGCAAGGACTGTACACTGTTTTCCAAACAACAAACCCTGGATCACCAGTAACATCAAGACCCTCCTCAGCCAGAAAAGGGAGGCCTTCAGGGATGGAGACAGGGAGAAGCTCAGGTGTGTGCAACATGAGCTGAAGAGGAGATTAAAGCAGGCGAAGGAGGACTACAAAAAGAAAGTAGAGAGGAAGCTATAGCACAACACCAGAGAGGTGTGGAAGGAGATGAGGACAATCACTGGCTATAAAGAGAAGAACAGCCAGGCAACATCAGGTGATGTGGTGGTGTTACAGATGTATTGCGTTCACAAAGCCAAAACTGCGTTCTATGAGTTCATCGTGACCTTGACCTTTGACCACCAAAATCTAATCACTTCATCCTTGACTCCTCGTGAACGTTTCTGCCAAATTTGAAGAAGTTCCATCAAAGCATTATTGAGATATCGTGTCCATGAGAATAGGACAGCCGATGGACGGACACACAACCCGAAAACAATATGCATCTGGCACATCTGGCTCTGACTGTCGCCAGTGCGGTGAAATAATATAAGCAGAAGTTCCAAAGACCCTCTATGACTGTTTCCTAATGTCATCATCAGCGGTGTACACAAGGCTCTGGATGAGACTCTGGAGAGGATGTCGGAGTAGCAACCAGTTTGTTATGTCCACTATGCTACAAAGGTGTAAAAAAAACATGGACCCTGAGTTTGAAGGCAGGCTGTGAAGTCAGCCGTTCCACTCCCCTCAACACATCACCTTTAGGAGCTAAACCCAGCTGACACTGGGCGAGAGGCGGGTACACCTGAACAGGTCTCCAGTATATCACAGGATTGACACACTGAGACAAACCTGCAGGTCTTTGACCTTTACCTGGTGGAAACCTACTTAACAAAGGCCAGGGTCAGCCCTGGTTTGAACCCAGAACCTTGTTGCTGTGAGGAGACAGTGCTGACCACTGCACCACTGTGCCACCCTGGTCTGTCTCAGGTCTTTTAGAGACTGTCTCCAGTATACTACCATAGTTTATCTTATACTGTAAAATGTCTCACTAAAACATCTGTCAGTATTTAACCTGCACCAACCCATGCCTTTGACCAGCAGAACAAGAAGCTTGTAGTTGCACTTGTGATCAATCATGTTTATCTCCACCTCCAGCTGTTACAGATCAACATGACTGATGTGTTATGATGTCTGTGTCATCTGATGAATCTCAGTCCACTGTTCCCTCTCTTTTAGCTCTGTGTTTGGTCTCCACCAGCTCTTGAGGGAAATATCTGTCTCTTTAGCTGCTAAATGCTCCACAATGTTCACCAGTTGCTCTGTGACTGTCTGCTGTTTGTATGATGAGCGGGTAGAGGACAGAGGCTGTTTACAGATGTTTCTATGAAAACAGCTGCTGCTGCCATGAGAGCAGATAGAGAACCAGAACAGTGAATTATGTGGTGCAAACATTTTAACAATAAGCTCAGCCTTAGAGGAGTTTGTACCTGTGATTAGCTGCGATCACACAGCACTCACCTTGGATCCATATAGGTCACACATGTTCATGTTGAGGTGGGCAGACGTCCGGACGATAACTCCAGTCGTCTCACACTGCAGCACACAGTTCTCCATGTTCAGAGTCCCCTGACGGACACCTGGCAGGTATCAACAGCAGAGTCAGCAGGTTCACAGACTGTGTCACTGTTTATCTAACACTGTTTCCACAGAAGTGTGTGCACAGCAGCTCGTGGGAATGATGATGATAGAAAGTGCAGGAATCTCCTCCATCACTGTCCGGCTCAAAGTGACTTTGTTTTGATCACAGTGGACAGATGAAGGTGTGGATGTGTTACACACAGGTTTACCGTGATGGAGCCTTGTTCATCTGTACTCACAGAGAATTCCCTCGATGGCATCATGCTGGATGAACTTGATGTTGGACAGTCGGACATCAGCTCCTGTGGACTCCACAAATGAGTCGCCCTTGTTTTTCTTCTCAATCACCACGTCATCAGGAAACCCAAAGCCTGGTGCGCACGCACGCACGCACGCACACACACACACACACACACACACACACACACACACACACACACACACACACACACACACACACACACACACACACACACACACACACGTCAGTAAACAGCAGCACAATTTTATAAAAATTAAACCTACATTTCTACCTTGCACTGCAGATCCATGTTTGACTCAGCAGAGATAAAGAACAGACTCTAAACCCACTCACTGACAGGACGAGGTGAGTTTCTTTATTATTGCCAAACAATAAATAATAAGATAATAATAATATAAACAATAATAATTATTATTAAAATAATAATGATAATAACTAAGCATGTGTATACAAACCCTGGTAACCTGGGTCTTATTCCTGTGCCACAGAAACACACTGTTGTACTGGCATGTTTGTTCATTATGAAAAACATGTGGACTGCAATTTATTATAAAAGACTGATGATGATGTCAGTCAGGGCGCATGGTCTGAAGTGCGTGACACAAGTGCATTCAGGGAGTGTCCATGTCACTTTTGTTATTTTACAGGCAGAAAAAAACTGTTGCTGCTCCAGACGCATGATTCAGAAGGGTTGTACTTAATCTCTTAATTATTCATGGGAGTGTTTTGGGCATAACAGGCAATAAACAATCACAGTGCATCTCCCAATCCCTTTAAAGACCAGGTGCACTGCACCTTGGTTTACTGCTGTTATAATGGACCATGTTTCAGAGTTAGATTCTATTTGCAGTCAGTTGATTATAAATCGACCTGTGAGTCCAGTCATCAATGCGCTGACACAGCTCTACAGAGAAGTAACAGCACAAATCACAACGTTAGAAATATTTGATGTGATCTGATGAGAAGTGTGAATGAATCTTCGGTTCGTTATGAAACTGTGGACAAATGTAGGTGATGAATGTGGAACACTGTGGAGGAGTTACCAGGTAGTAAAAAGAAGCTTCTCTGCAGAGTCTCATGCAAGAGACATCCATGACACATGACAACGATATCCAACACACAACACGTCACAAAGAAGCTCCTTCTGAGGCTGTACTGTAATGTTCACCTGACTCATCCAACATCTAAGAGCATCTTCAGCTCACTCTGCTTGTGTGTAACAGGCAGAGTGTGTGAGCTCTGTGTGCCTGTGTATGTTGGTCCATGTTACTCTCTTGATAATGAGCCTTAAAATAACAGTGAAATACTGCACCACTGACTTCAGACCAGGTTTTTGTTGGTCAATCCTTTTCCACAGATATCGATGCACCAGCAATGGGCACCCATAGGTGCTCAGATAGGTGCAAGTGTATTTGCTCTTTCAACAACCTGGACGCTGGACAGGAAGAACTGCGTTGTTCAGTTAACTACTTATGTTAAACGTGCGCCAGCCCCCTTTTATTTACCTTCTACAGTGATGGAGTCTGGTATGAAGATGGAGCTGTTCACACTGTAGATCCCTGGGAGAATAATGACCACATCCCCTTGATGACATGAGTCCACAGCTGATACTGGCTCTCTGTGGAACTAAACACACAGTCACAGTATGAACTCACCCATTTGAGTCTCATTAAGAGACACTGTACACCAAGTACAACGTTTACTTCCCTTTGGCGCCACCTTCAGGACAAACCTTGCACTCAGCCCCTCCTGTGAGGAGCTAACAACAGAGCATGTGTCCCACACTTAGGGCCTGATTTACTAAGATCCCAAATAAAGAGCGCTAAATTGCGTGCGCACACGGATAGATTGCGCGCGCTGCCTGTTTGGGGCTTGCGGGTGATTTACTTAGATTAACAACGCAATTGACTACCGGTGCAAAAGTTATTGAGCCCACCCTATTTAAATGAGGACTTTGCGCGAGTTAAGGGTGTTCACCGTGGCGAATACAAACGAGCAGACCCAACGGAAGCGCAAAAGCAAATTTGAAGCCACGGAATTGGAGGTGCTGGTACAAGAGGCAAACAAGCACATTTGTGAGTTTCATAGCAGGCACTGCATGACTCCTCCTTGTGACTGGATCCAAATCAGCTCCTACTTCACGGAGAAGCTCCAAAATGGCATCGCCGGATAACCGATATGTCTCGATTATTTTGTCTTCTGCCATTCCAAAAAGAGTGACACGAACAGAAAAGATGCGTTCTCTCCGTTGCCTGTCGTGCCTACGCCGCCTCCTTGCAACAACGACCGCAGCCATCTGTGCGCACGGCTGTGCCAGGTAGCCTAAGACTTGACTTTCAAACGTGCTAAATATAGACGCAAAAATAATCAGCACAATTAGTTTGAGGTTTGGTAAATCACATTGCGTGCGCAAAATGATTCTATTTGCATCTACTCCTCCCAATATTTTGCGCGTTCTGGCAGGCACGCCTATATTGCATATTCATGAAGGCAGAAGCGCAAAATGGATAGCGCGTGTTATTTTGCCCGACTGACAGACGCAATCCTCGGTGCGCCCGGTTGGTAGATCAGCATCAGCATGTGTTTGCGCGTGCTGTCGCGCTTGCGCACGTTTTTACGCACGCAAAGCTTTAGTAAATCAGGCCCTTAGTGAGAGAAAGATGTTGAGCAGAGAATAATTTCTATCAGCTGATCATGTTCAAGGTTATTGACGGCTGGGGTTGGCAGACCATGAGAAGACATCTAAAATGTTCTACACTGATCTTTGCCAACAGAACACAGTGAGGAGAGATGATCAGTTTAATAATGGATTTGTTAGTGTAAGATGAAAAATCACCTGTCAAAGAGGACCGGCCGCTGGTCCTGTTGTGTGTTTGCAGTACTGACCTGGATCTCAGTGTCCCCACATGAGCACAGAGGCAGCAGTCTGGCACTGAGGAGGGACTGGAGCTGCGTGGTGCTGCAGGAGTCTGCGACCACGTGGACCATCTTCATGCCTGATGTTCTGGGCCCACGACTCTGCACACACTGTTGCCTGGCATTACCTTTGTAGCCCAGCACGTACCTGAACAGGAGGTGAGGTGGTGAACATCCAGGTTGTGGAAACAGTTGGATGAGATAAAAAGGCAGTGGTGGTGAGTTTGAAGGACACACAGGTCTACCTCAGCAGGGGGTTCTCAATGATATGCAGTTTACGTTTGAACGTCTCCAGCTGGTCGCACAGCTTCAGACCCTCCACCATGGACACGTTATCCAGCTCCGAGTCTGAGTCAGGGCTGAGGCCGCTGCGCAGCACAGAGAAATGCTGGAAGCACTGGGAACATTTCTCCAGTAAGGACTGGTACTCTGCCACCAGGCCTGTTGGGACTCTGTCCTCCAAGATGTCGTAGTAGCTGAGATGAGACATTTTCAAACAGGATTCAGTGGAATGAACCAACACTTAGAACAAGATCTTCACAGAGACACAGGGTGCACTCACAGCCTAAGACGAGGCTCCACACAACGGACAAAGTAGTCGAAGTCATCATCTTCATCTTCCTCATCCCACTGTCTCCAGATGTGCTTATAGAAAAACCTGTGGATAGAGGAGGGGAAGAGGAAAGCATGGCACAGCTGGGCAGTCAATGTTATCAACAGTTTAAATATGTGGACAAACATCAAAGAGTGAACTCAGGTCAGTGAGTTCTACCTGAGGTGCTCCAGGGCGAGGGCAGTCTGATCAAAATCCCCAGACTCTTCATAGACCACCTGCAGCTCCTGCAGTAGGACTTTGTGCTGTGTGGCCTCCAGCAGAGACTCCATGGACTCTTCAGTGAGTTCACAGCCTCTGGTGTCGCACTGCAGAGGCAGCACAAGCCTCACACATGCTTTCAGATCCTTCAGCTCCACATCACGCACCTGTTATCATAAGCAGCTCTTCAGACATGTTGTCAGCGATTTATAACAATCCACACGTATTACATTTCAATCCACATCTCAAACACATTTCTGAACAGTTCAGTGTGACAGACAGTCACGCTATTTTTATGAGACAGTCTCTTCCTCTTGATGCAGCCTGATAACTGAGGTGAGAAAGACACAGGGGCAGGAACTCAACATTTTTTTTATTCTTTCCACAACTTCTTTGCACCGCCGACTCTGTCCAATAGTTCATAACTCATCTGTGGCCTCATTTATTATATGTCCATGAAGTATATGTGATTTATCAATATCCTGTGTGAGAGAGCACATCCTGACCAGGGGTGGATGGTAATGAAGTATGTCATTTCTGTACATAAGTATATTTTCCAAGTATCTTTTCTTTACTTGAGTTTTATTTCTTCTGACTTTTCCTCCACTACACTTAAAAGACAAATATTTTTTACTTGATCTTATCTATAGTCAGATCATCATTAATTGCGAATACCCGATATGATCTGGTGACCTTATTTTCTGTCATATATAAATTTAGTGTAGTAAACTCCTAGTTTGACAAAAGCTCAGGTGTCACACTGCTCTCAACACTTCGTGCGACGAGCTGACGTCAGCTCCTAACAAAGTTGTCCTCAGGTCCAGACTCCGGTCCTTCTCCCAGTCCCAGTCTACTTCAGTGGTATTAGAGACATTTAATGTGCTCCAGCAGACTAATAACCAACAGTGCAGATTAGCTACAGTCGGTTGGCTACAGCAGAACATTTTATTAATGTTAGCTTTGGTGTTTAAACATTTTCACTTCAGTTACATTTCAGCTCATTTCCTACACATTCAACTATTTACAGGAGCAGATATAGAAACATGTTTACACAGATTATGATGGAAATACTAATTCCAGCATTATGTCACAATAAGAAGCTAATGGACCTAATATTTACTGAAGAGAGACATCCTGCTGTGATCTGTTACTGTTGGTGCTTCCCTCTCAGATTCTTGATCAGATCCAGACTTCAACATGTATGAACGTAATCAGTTATGTTCTGTTACTTAGTTTTACAGCTCCACACAGTAAGCAGATAAGGGTCACAAGCACTGGGAGCTGCTCCTGCTCGTGAGAGAAGTTTACCACACCAAACTGAATGCAAACATAAATCAAACAGTGAATTAAAACTGAAAATAAAAATGAAGAAAAAAATGAAAAGAATAAGTTAACAAAGTCAAACAGCAAAGACGGGCTCAGTCTCCTAGGTTAAAGACTTAGATGCAGACTGTTTGTGCGATGGCTTTCATAAATGAGGAACCTGTCAGGGAAAAGATCCCATCAAAACTAAACCAAGTTCCTCCAAAGTCCTGTTCTGACTCAAGATTGAAGGTCGAGTGGGGTGAAGAGAAAAGTAGATTTATAATACCAACAGAGACGTGTGTGAGTTGGTCTCACCTCTACCAGAACATCAAACACATCAGTCGACCACAGAGCCAGCCAATCACATGGCTCCACCACCTTCTCCAGGTAGTCTGCTGTAAAGGCCTTCACCTCAGAGGGCTTACAGTCTCCTACACACAAATACACACAGAGAAGAGCCATCTAACGATTGACGACTATTAATAATATTGTACTGGAGTCAGACTCTGTGACAGTGTGTGTCTGCTGTTACCGAGCACGTAGTCCTGATAGGCCTTGAACCTCTCGTAGAACAGCAGGTGGTTCGTCTGAAATGTGTCAGGAAGACTTGAAGTCACTCCACCGTGACGCTCACACCTTTGCAGCTGAGTCCCTGACTTTCCAGTGTTGAAGTGGTCTGTGCCACTGTCATCGTCATCACTCTCATCTTCATCCTCCTCATCGTTCTGAAACAGAGCTGTTGGGAAAGACAAGATGATCTTTATTATCTGTTACATGCATTTCAGCAGGGCAGCTTCAGTGAAACCAGTCCTGACACAGTTACATAAAAGTAAAATGTCTATCAGGCTCCGTATTCACAAAGCATTTCATCTTACCACTAAGAGTTCTCCTAAGTCACACTAAATGTTTCTAACTGCCAGTTTTCTCTTAAGTCCTCTTCACAAAGCTGCTGAGACCAACTTTTACTCACTCTTAGCTCAGGGGTTTTCACTTTTCCTTACTAAAAGTCTCAGTCTCAGCAGCTCTGTGAAAAGGATTAAGATAAAACTGTAACCTGTTCTGTTAGACTACTCAGCATGGGTATCACAGTCTAAATGCTCTGGATTATTGTCTTAAGACATTCACACAATGCTGTTCACTGAAGCAAACCAAATATTCAGTTGTTTACTTCTACTGTATGAACTGTCTGAAGCCTGAATGTATATTAACACCTTAGAGGTGCAAAAAGAGATTATACATTTTTCCTAAAAATTTGGTTTAAAAAACGCCATCTATGCTAGCGAGTGTTTTCAGGTGCGTCTGTAGTTATTCTTTCAGAGTTAGTCGGGTTAGTCCAGTTTAACCTGCAGCACTTTCTGATGACTGGTGTAACATGTTCTGCTGCCACAGAGGAAATAAACTCATGGGGAGACATTTGACATCGTCCATATCCTTGCTTTTTGCACATGTCCATATCTAGATAAGGATTTGATAACCATATATCATTCAGCCCTACAGTGAAGTGCACATTCATATGACACTGTATGTACAGCCACTATCTACCTGTCTGATTGTGAGCCTTTTAATATTTTGGCCCGACTTCCAGACGTTGTTGAGGGGTGTAACGGTGTAACAGAAAACAGAGGAACGCCACCGTACATGACCGCAAAACGTAGTAGAGATGAAATTAAATGAGTGCACATACGTTTGTTTTTACTCTGGACTTGGACACCAACACTAAACTGACGGGGGGTCCTGGCTGTCACTGACTTTCCTCAACAGTCGCCTGACTTCTGTTCCATTGAACATTAATGAGCATTAAGACCGAGAAAGGCCATGATGGGAGAACATGGATTATCATGAGTCCCTGCAGCTGGTGTTCATGATGTCATTAAAGACAAAGGAGGACAAACCAAATACTGAAATATTCTGTGTTTTTTACAGATCCGATAATAATAGTAGTAGACACAGACCTTGAGTTATGGCGGACACACCATGTCTCTCTGCAGAATCTCCGTTACCATTGTTGTTATCTTCCACGTCGAGTTCAACGTTAACAAACGACGACAAATCAACCACCGACACGTCCGACATGGTGTTTACAGGTTCCATCCCTCCAGCAGACGTGGTTTCCCGTGACTTCTGCTCCATGAACAGTTTTAAAGATACTTTATAAATTATTTAGAGGCTGAAAACTAGACGATTACAGTATCAACAGAGCCCGAACAAACGCAAACCGAACGGCTCACACCCTGTCCCACTTACTTTCAAAATATTCCCGGTCTGCACAACCGCAGCCAATCACAACAAACTATCGCAGGCTATCCCGCCCTCTTAGCAAGCCAAATACCTTTGAGCCAATGAGAAAATGAATGTTGAACATGCGCTGGACTGGTCCTTCATGATGCGTTCATGTCATCAGGGCAGAAAGATCAGCAGAAGTTTTCGTATCATATTAATGAATAATAATAACAATAACAATAACAATAACAATAATAATAATAATAATAATAATAATAATGATCACACACCGGCAGACCGATAGAACTATCACTTAACTGTATCTGTGCATTTTCTGTAGCCATGTCCAGTTCTTTTTCACCAGTGTCAGCAGTAACCCGACATTTCCAATTGATCGTTTTCCCCTCAACTGGTTGTAAACACTGTTTAAACGATAAAATTGAACGCGGCATATCACAGTCTGTAACCGCTGGGGGGCAGCAGTACTTTAGTCCTGACCTGAAAGGACAGTAGAAGAAGTGTTCGGCTGAGTTGCTACGAGTTAATGCGAGGCCCATGCACCCGGAGCTAAGTGGTGCTGAAGTTGATTTTGGGGCAGGAGCACAGTGGACCTGGAGCCTATACAACGAGGTAAATTCAACATGGCCAGATTATCTCTTTGTTGTCTGGCTGCACTGAGCCAAACGACCGCTGAGCGTTCACACGACGGTTGATATTAGCTCTGTACAATACCGCAGATTTTCCTGAGCGCGTTCTAGTCAAAGGGGCGGGGTGTGCAGCATGTGACCAATCACAAACATGGACAAGTCTCCAGGCTTATTTTACAAACGAAGAGTGAACTACAATATTATTTGACAAATAAGAAGTCAATCACACGATCCAGGATAAAATCAATGGTTACAGCAGCCAAAAACAGGAAGGCTAACATTAGCTTGTTTAGGCTAACAGTAGCAGCTCATAACATGAACTGGGTACTCAAAACATTAGTAGACTACAGTTATCACCGTTCAGTCTGTCAGAATATAACACTTACTTTCTATCGCTGTTAGTCAATTTAGAGTACTGCTGTATACTGACTATATGAAACTGTGAGTGTTTGTGTGTTTGTGTGTTTGTGTGTTTGTGGTGGGGTGGTGGGGGATAGAAAGAGCGACATCCGTAGTTCCCTAGTCTTAGTGACTGTGGCGTAGACATAAGAAATAGTCAAACTTCAGTGAGAGGTCTAAATTCATCTGCTGCATATAGCAGTTTAGTTCTTGAGTATCTTACGCCGGACTGTTTTCAAATGAATGAATGAATGAAATTAAAACTTTTTTCAGAATGTTAAAAGTGGCAGGCTGAGGAACCGCATCCAACCACTGAGCTCCGTTTACCCTCAGCAGAAAATGTTTGTATTTAGAAAGAATTCAACAGTTACAAGGACGTTTTACTTGAGAAGTGAAACAATAATAAGAAAAATCTGATTTGGAAAAAAATCGCTGCAGTCTCTAAAAACAGATTTGTTGTGCTATTGGTCAGCGCAGGTATCATTTATTGTTACCATGGTAACATTCATCTTAGTCCTGAGTTAGCCTGACGGTAATGTGTCTTATTTTTTAAGTGAATCCATGAGCAAAATTAAGACGGACCTAGTCTAAAATATATTTGAAACTGGCCTCTGATCTAACATAGAAGTGTTGATTAAAGGAAAAACAGAAGACAAGTTGATGGTTTGGATGAAGAAACTGTTGAAGTTAGCTCAGAGAGATCTACAGGAGAGAAGCAGTCTAAATATAAGTCAGTTACTGTACTAGACAGTACATCTGAGTCAGCTGTGGGGAGGAGACGGTGAATCTTTTCTCTAATAGTTAACATTTTATTTGTAAAGAAGTTCATAAAATCACTACTACTGAGGGTTAAAGGAATGAACAGCTCAATAGAGCTGTGACTGTCCAGAACAGAAACCTGGGCTTGTTCTTGTTTTCTTCTGTTATCGATGAAAAATAGGAGGTTCTGGCATCATGGAGGCTTTTCTGTAAGTTGATAGACTATCTTTCCACGCCTTTTGAAATTGTTCTAGATTGGTGGAAACCCACTACCTGTCTTGCTGTCGTTTCATTTGTGATTTGTACCATGGAGCTAGCCTCCACTGACACACTACCTTATTTTTCAGAGGGGCCACAGCATCTAGTGTTATACGCAGTGAGGCTGCAGTACTATCAACATCATCATCAACTTGTGAGGGTGTAAAGTTAGCTGTCCTCTATTGTATTGACGCATGGCAGTGGACTAAATTACAATGGTTATTTGATTACAGTATTGTCACCTGCTGTATGCTGTGATGCTGTATAACCCATTACTGTGAAGTCAAATGTTAATAAACAAAACTAGGTCTAAACTAGGGCTGTCCCAAACGATTATTCTTTAAACGATTAATCTAGCGATTATTTTTTCGATTATTCGACTAATCTAGCGATTATTTTTTTTAGTAACCTAACAGTAATTTTATTGCAATTATTTTCCAGTTAGTCATTTAATATAACAATTTGCCCCGTCCAACACACAGACACACACACAAATGAAGATGCACATTGCAGTCTGCAGACTACCGCACTGTTGGTGTCAAGATTAAAGTATTCCCAAACTTTGGAGGACCGTGTGTGAGCCTTTTTTGCCGCCTGTTGCTCCACACGCTCCGTCGTACTGCTGGTAGACGCCGCCATGTTGTTCAAATAGATTACACAATCATTCACGTAGTCAATGACTTCAATTACGTCACCACGTTGTCCCAGCCCTTGTGCTGCGCTTGTATCCGGGTAAACCAAAGACGATGGATATAAAGGGTCCCATTAGAAAGTTCCGGTTTTGTTCTATGAACATTTACCCTGATTACGTCGATTACGTCGGATAATCGTCCCAGCCCTAGTCTAAACCTAGTAAATAGCCACATTGCCACCGCAGGAACTTTCCCCAGGAACCTTTTGAAGAACTATATGTGTTTCCACTGCAGGAACCAGGGTCTAAATTTAGTTCCGGGGTAATTGATCAACCCCCAAAAAGGTACCTGGTTGAGTACTTTCCAAAGGTTCAGGACCTTTGGGGGGTGTGGTCTAGGGCTGGGACGATTATCCGACGTAATCGACGTTGTGGATTATAAAAATTATTTGACGTGGAATTTTAGTGTCGACGCGTCGTGTAAAACCACACAGGGTAAATGTTCATAGAACAAAACTGGTACTTTCTAATGGGACCGTTTATATCCATCGTCTTTGGTTTACCCGGATACAAGCTGATAAAAGGCTGGGACAACGCGGTGACGTAATTGAAGTCATTGACTACTTGAATGATTTGCGTCTGTGTAATCTATTTGAACAACATGGCGGCGTCTACCAGCAGTAAGACGGAGCGTGTGGAGCAACACGCGGCAAAAAAGGCTCACACACGGTCCTCCAGAGTTTGTGAATACTTTAATCTTGACACCAACAGTGCGGTAGTCTGCAGACTCTGCAAAAAAAAATAAACGTTAGATTAGTCGAATAATCGAAAAAATAATCGCTAGATTAATCGTTTAAAGAATAATCGTTTGGGACAGCCCTAGTGTGGTCTGCAGTGCTAAACATTTCTGACTGGTGGAGTACTCGCAAGCGAGCAAACACATCATCCACACTGCATAACAAGGCCTGGGAGAAGGTAAAAAAACTGAAACAGGACTTCAGAAAAATAAAGGACCACAACAACCAGAGTGGCTAGGGTTGCCACCCATCATGTATAATACAGGATCGTCCCGTATTTGAAATTAAATACTGCGTCCTGTATTGAATGAATATGGGACGCAATTTGTCCCATATTTTCGTTCATGTTATGTCCTCAAAGTGCTGTGAATAATGTAATGTCAAGTAATTTACATAATCTTCCCGGGACTTTAGGCCGTGGTGGAAACGCAGACAACAATGGGCCACAGGATCTTTTAGTTCCTGAAACTATTTCTTTTAGGTCAAAACGCAGCTTTAGTCTTGATTTACTTCAGCTCCAGAACATAACAGACTTTTATTAGAGGCAGGTCTTTATGTCTGACTCCCTCTGTTTGATATGTAGAGTTGGTTATAGTCGTTAGTACGAAGCCTCATTATCGATGATTTCTCTCTCTCTCTCCCTCTCTCCTGCTCTCTCTGCTCTGTGTGTCTTATGTTCAGTTATTCCTCTGCCTCCTTTAGTAAGAATGATACATGGAATGAAAATAGTTTATTTGCTGTAATGGAGGCGAGGCTCAGTGTATTGGAAGCACTCCTCCTCTTCCCTGCAGTTCCTGAGCAATTCAGTGTCTATGTCATATGTCAGAACAAGATGGAGGGTGTGATTAAAACAGTGAGTGGGTTCACTTACATGTTGACAAAAGCCAACTGAGTCTAATAGTGAATTAAATGCAGAGCCAGCTGAGGCTGTGACTGTCATCTTCATGAATGGGGAAATTACAGATTACAATTACTTGACTTTAGGGTTCAGCATTCAAGTTAATAAAGACTTTCTGTCACCATTTTGAATGTTTCTTACTTGTCTGCACCCTGGACCCCCTGTGGGTACAGACGGAGGGAACAATGACTTGTAATCTGAAAACATGTACTCTTTATATTTAACTCATAAATCAGTTTTGTCACTGAGAACCTCTGAGTTTGAGGTTTTGAAATCTTTAAATGAAATGAAAACTATATGATTCACGGTAGAGTTTTGTGAGAGACACTTCTACTTTTTTCTGAGCTCTTCCATCTCACTCTCACCAGGTTGTTGATTCCAGTCTCTGAAGATGTGTGATCAGAGAAATGACCGCGGTGATGATGTGGATGAGCTGTCAGACACTGATGACTCTGAACCTGAACAACAGCCCAGCAGTGCTCCCTTTGACCCGTAGCTGGACCATGATGATGATGATGATGATGATGACGATGATGGGGGGCGGGGGGAGGCTGTGATCTCTACGTCAGCTGCTCAGACTTCCTTCAGTCTGAGAGGAGGGAGCTCAGCTTTCTCAGACCGCAGCCACAGTATCTTTGACTGCCTGGACAGTGTCACCCAGCTGACCTCCTCCTCTGTGAACCAGGATCACGTCACAGACGGAGAGTTTGTTCGGCCTCAGCCTCCACGTCCCAGCAGGAAGACGAGCCACCCTCCGTCCACTGACCCCACACCACCAAAGAAGAGAGGAGTCCCAGACTACCTGGTGCACCCTGAGCGTTGGACTCACTACAGTCTGGAGGATGTGTCTGAGACCAGTGAACAGGACAACAGGAGGGCCGCTCACAACTTCCTTTCTAGTCTGCGGAAGGAGAGACAGCCTGAATCATCCTGTGACATCCAGCAGAGAATGATCTTCTCTAGACCAAACCGACTGCTGAAGGAACAGACTGCAGATCAGCTGTCAGCCGTCAGAGGAAAAAAGAGGGGGATGCATCTCAGTCACTTGGAGGAGGAGGAGGGGGCAGAGGGCAGGGAGGGAGGGAAGGCTGGAGGAACAGAGCAGAGTGAAGAAGAGACTGGAGAGAGAGACAGGAGAAGAGCTGTGGGTCGACCAGAGGAGGGGAATCAGAAACGAGTGCAGAAAGAACAAGGTGAGGAGGAGAAGACAGAGGAGGTGAACCCCAGCTTTACCTCCTTCAGGAAGACGAAGAGTAAAATCTACAGGAAAAGTTCAGAGCAAGAGGACAACTGACCACGTCTTAATGATACAGACTGATAACTGTTTTTAACCCAACCCTGAGCTAACTGTTCCCAGACCTGTTTCAAAGTCAAACCTCTGAAACTGTAACTTTACAGCAGAGTTCATCTGTCCTCTGACCACGCCCACTTTCACTCAAAGGTGTCTGCTCTGTTGCTGTCTTTAACCACACCTGACAGTGATGTCACAGTATACTACAGAACACCTGTACATCATTGCAGCCAGGTGACAAGCTGTTAGCATGTCTGGTTAACTAGCCACAGTAGTAGCCTAGTTTAAGTCTGAGGTCAGAGAGTATTTCATTATTTAACTACAGTTTGTGAGGACACAGGTTGTGTTCAAAAAGATTCTCCTTTTAAAACGGGCCTGAGACACTTTTCTACCAACTCATGGAGCTAACGTTAGCTTCATTAGCTCACTACAGCTTATTAAACCCACAGTGACAGTCACCAGCTAAAAGCAACAAGTTGTTCCTGTCTTATTTGACGGTAAATCCGTAACACTGTGAACTGAGTATGTGCAGAAAATGAAAGATTGACAGGGCTCAGTTAACTGAAGCCAGATCAGCCTTAATTACATTGTGTCAACTCCAGACTGAGGCAGAATTGTAGGGAAAGAGATTTGATGTTATTAAGTTTTTTTTTAAACATTTTGTCAAACGAGGGTCATCAGATATTTACAGTCAGGACCTGCAGGGCTGTACAGTATGTCTGCAGGTGTTTAACCACAACAAACACGTGTGTGTGGCCCAACATAATAACACAAAATTGCCATAAGGGACTTCACAATCTGTACAGCAGACAACACCCTCTGTCCTCAGACCAGACCCATGACCTGGATAAGAAACAACTCCCCAAAAAACTGAAAAAATGGAAGAAACCTCAGGAAGAGCAGCACAGGAAGGATCCCTCCTCTAGGACAGACAGGAAATACATGTTGTGTGTACAGAGTAGAACAACAGTAGATTTACAATGTGGACAATCAGGAGGACAATTTTTACCCGGCCAACTAAAATCAAAGTCTGAAGCTACCTTAAAAGAGCAAATACAGGCAGATCAGTCAGTGAGTATGTACCTGCCTGCACTATATTCAGAGGTGTTCCTTATATTGTGACCACTTCATGTATGTAAATATTAGAAACAGCTGTCAGTATCTAGTCATCCAGTACAACAGCAGCTTTGACTCAGAGCCCACCACCGTTCTTCATGAAAACAGATGCTGTGGCACAACTGTTGGATTTGATTGAATGAGATTGTACAGGTGTACCTAAAAAAGTGGACACAGCTGCTTACAGTGGGACAGCACCAATCAGTCTGTGCGTTCTTAAAGAGTCAGACCTCCTCAGCAGGTCCAGATCCTCTAAAGTCTGCTAAGGCTGTGGTTTGCATTTACACAGTCTGTGGTTTGCATCACCGAGCAGTGACTGAGCGTCACTGTTCTATCGCTGCAATGTAACTCAGCAGCTAATGGTTTATAGAGGGAGCTTTGCATGTCGGCCTTACAGGATGATGAGGTCACTGACATCTGTAAATACTCCGGTTGTCTCATTTATCTCCCACCTGAGGTGTGTTCAGGTCCTTGTTCCAAGAAGCAGCTTTGCTGAAAACCCATAGAGCTCCTGATCTGGAACATGGACTGATGGAAACACACCTTCTCCAGGTTGTACTCCAGATCACTCAATCAATCTGTTTCATCAACCATACCAAGTTTCTCAGTAAATCAATATGCTGTAATATTTTCTACTTCATGCGCAGATAATTTATTGGTTTCATGTGTGAGATGTTCAGTGCAGTATGGACTTCCAGTAGAAACTTTAGACTCAGTATGGGGATCACACTCTATTCATTAAGCATTGGTTAAAATAACAGCCTGTTAAACTGTAATTATGTGTGTGTGTGATTTATTTGTGTTTTAAACTGAAACATTCACAAGTACATGCACACACACAAACCTCATGTCTTATTCAGCCCTCCTGTGTATGAGAAAACTCAGCCATTGTAAGTGGAAGATCAGATAAATATCTATAAGTGGAGTAACATCAATAAGTGACAGCTATCTGAACTTTTTTAGTTCTTCAAATACAGCTCAGATCTGACTCTTTGTCCTGGGGAGAAGCAGAGGAAGTGATATTAAAAACTAAGGTTTGATTTGAGAACATCATATTAATAAAAATACATATCAGTCTGGGCTCTGTATTTTATGATTTTTCGCTGTCTGTATTTTTGATGTTTAAAATAAACTAAAAATTGAAGCTGAAATGTATGACTGTAGTCACATTTATATTACACTATTTAAAAAGTTCGTATGTTCCATCTTTCCCGCGGAACCCGAACGCCTCATCAGATTGTCCCATCGTGCTGAAAGGTGACGTCGGCGGCTCGACATACCTGTACCTGTCCACACACAGTGCAACGCTCACCTGCAAATATCCGGAAGTGAGAGGAGATACGTGTTTGATATTTGCTTATGGAAATCGACGGTTAAAGTAAATATAACGTTCATGAAACGGACACAGCTGCATGAAGGACGCTGGATGAAGTTTTCTCCTCTGGAGCTACCACCGACATGTTCTTCAGGAAACGCGAGGTAAACATTTTATTTATGAATGTTCTCCATTAACTATCAGAGAAAGGTGTGGAGCAGCCTCAAACTGCCCAGGTTTGCGGAGTTCACCACTATTGAACACACACAACAGTTTTTTATTCTGTTGTTGAAGATTCTCAGTAAAGAACGTGCAGTGCTGACTGAACTGTGACGTTAGCTGCTCACTGTGACATCATGACGCAGCTCTTATCCATATTAATAGGACAAACCACAGATAAATAATCAATATATCAGAAATAAAAACACAAAGTAGTTGTAGTTTATTTTTTTCTCTCCCAGTAGTCATAAACTGATCATCTAATCTGACTCATTCATTATTTCACTGGTTTAAACATGAACAGTTTCTCTTTCAAGCTCAAACATCACAGACTGCACTGTGGAGAAAACTGTGGACAGACATATAATAGTTCATATTTCAGAAACATATACAGTAGTTTTAAACTGGTTTAGATTAGTACAGAAAATCTGCAACTAATAGTTATTTTCACTTAATGAATTAGTCTGCATATTGTTTTCTCAAAATGTCAGGAAATTGCGATGATCTTCAAATGTGTGGTTTTGTCCAAAGATTCCCGTGTCAGAGGCAGTGGTTCTCATGTTCTTGAACTGAGTCCGTTATTTAAAGAGTTGCTGATTAAATTATAACCTATAACTTTTCCACGTTAAAATGTCTAAAAACGACTAGACCTATGTTCTATATGTTGTTGAGTGGTGTTGTTACATTCTCCAAAATGTTTCCATCAGTTCTCAAACCAGAGATATCAGTGATTTTAATCATGGTAACGTTTCATTGGTCACCAGTCAATGACATCATATCCTCTATGATCATGTGTCAGTGTGTTTGTCTGACAGAAGCTCAACATTGACTTTTATCTAGTTTTAAGTCACATACACTTCATACACCAGATGAAGGATTTTAGTCGTCGGAACAAATGTGAGCAGCAGCTTCACTCCGAGCTCCTGAGAGATGTCCTGTGTCCACTGTTAAAAATTTGTGTCAGAAAAACACTGTTTTTTATCGTGAAATATTAAACAAAAACACATCAGGCAGGAAACAAAAAAACAGACTCACTGAGCGGCATACAGCAGATGATTGTCATTCAAGAAACTCTAATAATGGTTTCCACACTTCTTCAGATTCTCCTGCCCTTCTTCTGTAAGTCAGACAACAGGGGTAAACTGAGAAGTTCTGAGTGTGTCAGACAGGTCTGGACACGCAGACTGCTAGATGTATGTTAACGATGAAGACAAAGACAGCTGTCCATAAAAACATGCGTGAAAAAAGATGTTTAGATGAATCACAGCAGACAGTGTGAACAAGCAAAAAATTTTGTGAACTGAAGTGAACTGAGTCATTAATTTTATGCATCAACATTTACCTAACGTTTGCTAACATTAGCCACCATAAGCTAACAGGTCATGACCAGGTGAGACTGGACCAGGTGAGTCTGGATTTGAATACAGTTCTGTTATTGTTTGACCTAAGTTCATAAATTTCTTACAGATATAATGAGAATGTAATATGAGACCCCACTGTCAGTATGGTACAACATGTTTGTATTGTACAGTATGTGTAGTTGTAATATTAACCTTGTCTGTGTGTTAAAGGAAGACATTGAGCTGTGGGACAGACAGAAAGACAGCACTGAGCCTTTACTTCCTTCAACGGTAAGAATCCACTGATTGTCTCCATCCTCTCTTTAACATTGAAATTGGGTAAAAGAGGCTGAATTAACATGGGGGATGGAAAGAGTAGAAGGATTTAGGACTTGATGTTCTCCACCTCATCAACAAAATGAGCCAGAAATTTATCAGACAGCTCAACATCAAATTCAGTAAAAGAGCTGGGGGACGGCACTAACAACAGAAGTAATTACTTTAGGAGTGTGGTTATTTCTGGATATCGATTCAGAGAAGGGAGCTGATGTCACATCCCTAACTGCTTTCTAGTAAACTGCCATTTTGTTTTATTTCAGACTTATTGACCTTCCACTGGTGTTCATATTTTCTGCAGAGCCTTTTAAAGGCTCGAGTGTGATCACTCAACCAGGGGATTTTTTTTATTTTTGTTACCGAGTTTTGAATGGGGAGGGTGCGCACAGCGCATTGATGAGTGACTCTCTACCTCTGGGTTCAGTTGGCATGTACCACGACGCATATATCCAATGCAGAAACTGAGTAGCACCCATTTGATTTGTATCACTATGAAATCACGAGATTAATCAGAGAAATTAGCAGGTATGTCAGCAACATAGAAACACAGAATCCCTCTGCTCTTATGAACCTGTGTGACATCAGACATGAATACGTGAGACGACTTTTATCTTCCATCACAGTGAACCTGCTCATGTCTGCTGCCTCATTTACATGCTGTATCTGGTTTATTGAAATGTGAAGATGTAAACTCAGTGTTTCTTGTCCTTTAATGGTCCTACCAGGTCTTCCCACAGCTGTAGCACTGATATGAGTTTTACCATGGATCTACTTCTACAGTACACCTGAACAGGTGTAGTAACCTGAACCTGCTTCTTCAGACAGAACCCAAGCTGAGTCATTGGATGAGCTGGTGATTAGCCTGTTGGCTAACAAGACATAACATGTAGATAAGGCGGGTGTACAGGTGTTGGAGGAAAGGTTTTACCTGATGGAGGCAAGGTGTTGGATTGCTGACAATATTGTTCTGATCTGCTTTGGACTGTAACAGGAGACATCTGACTGGTGAGCAGACTGAAGGCTGCTGTTTTTTCCTGTGTGTGTTGTAGCACATTGATGGAGCAGTGGACATGAACCAGACTGAATTTAGAAAACAGTCAAATATTCAATGGTGGTAGGAGACTCATTACCTCTAGGGGCTAATTATTGCCTGCTGTGCAAAGCATCACACTTCAACACGTCCAACAGTGGTTCATGTAAATGACTCAGTGGATAACCCATCTGTCATTGTTTTATGGCGCAAGAGGTTCTGGGTTCGATCTATTGTGTCCATTATTAGTGTGTTTTGTGTCTGAACAGCCCCCCCACAGGACATTTGATTATGTACTCGTGGCTCACAAGGTGGATGATGACAACAACCAGAAGGCTCAGAGACAGCAAGCCTTCATCCAGCAGCTTGAGATGAAAAACATCACTGTCACTGTGAGTCTCCTCACCTGACCTGATAGATGATGTAATGTATTGAATGACTGCATGAATCTAAGATAACCAACCCACTAATGTGTGTGTTGCTGTGTGTGTGTCAGAGGATTGTTCATGATGACAAAGTGTTCTTCGGCTTGCGTGCTCCCAGTAAGATGTTCGAAGACTACCAGTACCTCCTCAAGGTCTCTGACTCTTGCAACTGGTGTGGAGATGTGAGAGGAGCAGTCACTCAGGCAACCAGGTAATACACACATATACAGAGCACTTACAGCTTAGCGTTTGATGACACTGAGCTATGACTGGACTCTTCTGCAATCAGAGGCTGCAGATTTATCAGCATGTGTCCGCTGCCTTCAGACAGCTGCAGGGAGTTAATGAACTGACACAGTGTGAAGCAGCTGTGGTCAGCAGAGACTGTAACAATCACTCACATTCACTTAGAGATCAGTACATACTGATGCACTGATGTTACTGCTTTAAACATATTAAACATTAATTTTTATGTCAGTTTAAACAACTGTTCTTACTTCAGAGTGTTTGATTAAAATAGTTTATTTGGATTTGAGGTATTATCCTGTTACTGCTGTGCTTTTGCACTGAGTATTCATGATTTCTTTTCTTTGGGGTGCAAGGTGGGTGCACATGCACTGTGACACACATACACTGTGACACACATACACTGTGACACATGCAAACCAACAAACATTGGCCACACTTTGGAATAAAATCTGAATATAACGAATATAGCGAGTAAGCAGTACAGGTGTAGTAGAGTTTTATTGTAAAACTTCTGTTGTCATTTTCATGAATCTGCTGTGTCTTTTTTCCTTCTGACTCATTTCCAATGTCAGCAGCTTCTTTTTTCAGCTTCTTTGCCAAAGAAATTTCATATCATGCATCTTTGAAGGGTGGATTTGGATTTTAAAAATGGCTTCCTCAGTTGTATTATAGCATCACAGAAGCCCAACACATTGTGTCAGTGTATGTTTGGAAACACAAAAAGCCTTAGAGAGTAAGGGGAGCAAAGTTACACAGACAGATGTAAAAAAAAAAAAAAAGAAAAGAAAAGGATGCAGCCGTATCATGTATATAAACTTTTTATTCTTTCTCCAGGATCCGGGTCGTCCATTTCATCCTTCATCAGACCTTCATCAACACTGGAGGTGATATTTCAGACAGACAACCATGAATAATGATCATTGGTAGGACAGGTGGAACAGAAACCACAGCAGCCTTTCATGCTGACATGTTGTTTTCTTCTCACAGAGAACCTAGACGAACTGCTGATGAAAGATGTTTTTGAAACCATTTTCTGCCTCCATGAGGTGAGGCAGTCTTTGACTGAATGCTGCTATCCTGATGTTCCTTTGATATTGATTATCTGCTGATACTGAACCAGATCTGATATTTACATCTGCTGTTCCATGCTCACCAACTACAACCTGAAAATGACATCAGATAGACTGAATTCATCCTGAAAGAAATGTTTTACCAAAGATGCAAAGTATTTACTGGAGAAGTGAATATATGCACAGCAGTAGAACATATTAATTAAATAATGAAGTTATTGCTACATTATTACATGTGCACTCAGCATTATTACTACAATTAAATATAAGTAAATATATACACAGCGGCAGAGCATGTTGATTAAATCAGGAATGAATAAAGTTATTACTACAGACCATCTTCCAATGGGATCACACACATACTCATCTACATGTTGGCGTTCTGACCCATGAGCACTCAGTAGTCATTACTAGATTATTACACGAGCACTCAGTAGTTGTTACTGCATTATTACATGAGTGCTCAGAAGTTATTACTACATTATTACATGAGTACTCAGCTGTTATTACTATATTATTACATGAGCACTCAGTAGTTGTTACTCCATTATTACATGAGTACTCAGTAGTCATTACTACATTATTAAATAAGAACGCAGAAGTTTTTACTACATTATTACATGAGTACTCAGTATTTATTTACAGGGCAAATCTGCTAAATTTGGGGAAACATGGGAAACATTTCATGTGGAAACATTTTAATTATTTAGAGTCTGCACAATGAAACTAATAACCCATTTTTCTTGTTGATCAGTGAAGAGTGTCTGTAACGTGCAAAGTAATTCTAGGATAGAATAAACCTGAACTTATGTAGAACAAACAACACAGGTATGAGATTCTTAAAGTGACTGAAACTAATTTCCAAAAAACGACTTTATACAACACAAGAAACACATATGAACGTAATACCAGAGTTTGAAAGGGGAAATATGCAATAAACCAAAATAACATGACCTTTTCCTGGAAGCAGTTTGGATAGAGAATATGATGTGACGATATGATGGCAAAATAGCAGCTGTCACCTTCTAAATCTGAGAAAAGCTGTTTGATCCAGAAGTTGCTGATAGAAGTTGATGGGTTTAAATTAGTTCTTTCTATTACAAAGACATAAATATTTCTCTCCCTACCATTGACAGAGTGAACACAGGAAATATTTCGACACAAAACAGACGTTTTGATATTGATTTGATGTGTTTAGTGTATTATCATTCAGGCCAAATACAGTCTGTATTTTAATTTGTTCCCTTATTCTCAGAGGAAGCAGCAGAAAGAGCTGAAGAGGAAATGGGCTCGATGGTCGGCTCTGTTTACAGGACAACCATTCAGTGACGTCAAGTCAGTGAATCTACTTTAACATTATACTTCCTGTTTTGGAGGGGTGGGGGCCGCAGTTTTCTGTCTTATGTGATGGCAGACCACAATGTCAGAGTGTGAAAACCTTAGATTGGTTTAGACGGATATGTAAGATGGTCTGTGCAGATTGTAAAAATATAGTTTCACAATATGGCTACAGAAACCCTGAACTGAGCTGTGTTTATCAGTCTGGAAGAGGCTGTGAGCAGCTAATCCTTCAGCTCCTCATGAGTAGAGCTGTGGAAAGGAGAACTGGTTCTGAGGACTGTAACAGGAGTAGTGGTCACAGTAGTTTTGAACTGGACACTTCAGTGGAGCTTACCTACTCTTCTGTTGTGAATTTGGGGTTAGACCAAACAGAGTTTACTGGTCTGGTCTCATCAGACCAGAGAACCCTCAGGGAAACATTAACCAGGGGGTCACGTGAATCTTTATAATCCTCTGTGAAACCATGTTTTAAAACAATAAAACATGGGAAAGTCCAAGGTTTAATAATCTCTGTGTGTTGATGTGTTTATCTCTGTGTGTTTCCTCCCTGTAGATGTTACTTTGGAGAGAAGGTGGCTCTTTACTACCTGTGGCTGAGCTGGTACACCAAGCTGTTGGTTCCAGCTGCTGGTTTGGGTATTGTAGTGTTCCTGTATGGACTGGCCTTTTTTAACACCAACCCTCTCATGTGAGTCAACTACATAGAAGTCATAAAATGTCCTCTTGCATTAACATAACTTGAATTTGATACTGTATGACGTTAGGTAATGCTGGTGGTAGACTCTTACATTGGTCTTCAGGAGAGCCATGAGAAGCCGGCCCCTGAAGCAGCAACTGAATCATCACCACAATGTGACTGACCTTTTATTTCTATTAACCTTTGAATCTTTGTATATGTGGTTGTCCTCAGTAAGGAAGTGTGTAACTCCAGCATCATCATGTGTCCTCGCTGTGATAACAGGTGTCCAGTGTGGCAGCTGTCAGACAGCTGCTTCTACGCTAAGGTGAATCATCTCTGTCACTTTGTTGTGTTTATCTGTTGTCTTCAACCAGCTGCTGTAAGTTAACATCAGGACGAACTTCCAACAGCTGTTTGAAGAGAACACCTGCTGTATACATAAGTCATTGTCCTGCTCTCCATCTGTGTTTGAGTGTTAAAGGAGTTTTGATCTTCCCTCCTTGTTTCATTCATGATGTGTTTGTATTCACACAGCTCAGCCATCTGTTTGACAATGAAGGCACTGTGGCCTTTGCTATGTTCATGGCAATCTGGGGTGAGTCTCTTATCTGCTCTAATGTGATTTCTAATCTAATGTAAACCCACATCACAAAGTGATCTACTGTGATGTGGAGTTCCTCTTTAACTGGTTGTGTCTGTGTGTTTTCAGCTACTCTGTTCCTGGAGCTGTGGAAGAGACATAGAGCCAGACATGTTTCTCAGTGGAAGGTCTATGACTGGTGTGAAGAAGAGGTACAGCTGTGTGGATCAACTAACAGATAATTATACTTTATCTTTGTTTAAAGACAAATCTGCATCTGAGTCTAGGTAGATGTAGTTAGCTGTAGTGTTTAACCTGACCCGAGTCTACCCAACCTTGACCCAACCTGGACCCAACCTGGACCCAACCTGGACCCAACCTGGACCCAACATGCACCCACCCTGGACCCAACCTGGTGACCCAACCTGGACCCAACCTGGACCCAACCTGGACCCAACCTTGACCCAACCTGGACCCAACCTGGACCCAACCTGGACCCAACAGGCATTCTGTTTATTATGTCTGAACTTGACACAAGCCAGATGCCGTTAGTATGAGATGAAACACTGAGTTTGTGTAACCCTGTCACACAATTGTTGTTACCATGGTCACAGCTTGCCTGTTTACCCTGATTGCCCTGATTACTTATTGATGTATGGGCACCTTGCAAATTACCGTCAAAAGGCTGATGTGACGCAAAACGCAAACATCCACCGCTTATCCTTATAGGGTCGCGGGGGGCTGGAGCCAATCCCAGCTGACATTGCGCGAGGGCGGGGTACACCCTGTACGTGTTGCCAGTCTATCACAGGGCTGGGCTGACATATAGAGACAAACAACCATTCATACTCACATTAACACCTATGGGCACTTTAGAGTTGCCACTCAACCTAAACCTGCACTGGTGAGGTGTCCCACCAGTGGGACCTGTCCAGTACACCTCAGCTTACAATATAGTGACCGAATAGAGTGTCCCGGTTATGTGTTGCGTGTGTAAACATCTTATCCTGGTTTTGAGAAACCTGGATATGTTACCTGGAGTGGTCTGAGTGTTTCTCAACTGCTGAACAGTCTCTAGAGTTTTTATTCAGAAAGGAAACAAACAACAGAAGCATCCAGTGAACAGCAGCTGTGTTGATGACAGAGGTCAGAGGAGAATGGACAGAAAGGCTACGGTCACTCAGATAACCACTCTTTAAGACTGTGCTGAGCAGAGACGCTTCAGAGTGAACAACACGTCCTACCTACAACAGCAGAAGACCACATTAGGTTCCACTTCCTGTCACCAAGAATAGAAACCTGAGGATGCAGTGGACACAGACTCACCAACACTGGACAGCTGGTCTGATGGATCTGGATTTGTGCTGAGGCAGCAGATGGTAGGGTCAGAGTCTGAATCCATGGAGCCAACCTGCCTTGTGTCAACAGTCCAGGCTGGTGGTGTGATGGTGTGGAGAATGTTTTCTTCTTAATACCAATCAATCATGGTCTGAATGCCACAGTCTATCTGAGTATTGTTGCTCACTGTGTTCATCCTTCATGGCCACAGTTCACCATCTTCTAATGGCTCCTTCCACAGGATCATGCTCCATGTCACAAATTGGTTTCATCAACCCCCAGTCTCCAGATCTGAATACAGTAGAAAACCTTTGTGATGTGGTAGAACAGGAGATTGGCAGCATGAATGTGCAGCTGACAAATCTGCAGAAATGATGTGAATCCTTATGCAAATAGAAACACAGTCATTTATCAAACATACAGGTCTGTATGTTGGTGATGGCAGTGTAAAGACAAACTGAATGTTCAACTAGATTTGAAGTAAACAAGCTGCACCAGACTGATCCTCACCGCTCAGACAGTTGACTCATCAGATGGATTATACTGGGAACATTGCACTTAATGAATTCAGTTTTTCCTGCTTACAGTTTAATACATTTAAAAATAACATAATACATTAACAGAATTTATTTTCTTCATTTATGGCTTTTATGTTTACATTCCACACTTAATTTGATAACATAATTCTTGACCTTGGAAAAATCTTAACTCAAGGTCGACTTACTCACTTTTTCTGGAGCTTTTACCCAGATCTAATGGTCTTCATCACTGCATTTGCTAATTTCTCACATGGGTGGCTCAATTGTCATCACTTTAGTATACATGTTTTAGTGCCAATAATTACAATTAAACCAACTAATTTTTCTGATCAAGTCCTCTGTTTGTTACAGCTCTTGATTCGTGTATATTCGTGTGTATATATATATATGTATATATGTATATCCTTGTAATATACCTTTAATTTGTCAGTTGAATCTCAGCTGTATGTGTGTTGACAGGAAGAACTGATTCTGAAAATAGTCAACGATCCAAACTGTACAACCAAACATTTCATACACTCCTACATGCGCAGCACTCTGGTCCTCATCCTGGTTACACTCATGGTAAGACACACACACTGTGACACCCTCTGAAAACACCCCCAGATACACCCACTCCACACAAAACTAGGGACAGATCCGTCCCTGCTTTTCACCAACATTCAACTTACTTCCTGTATTACTACATCCACATCCATCATAGAGAGAGCAGTCCAGACCAGGGCTAAAGGAAAAGTATATTTGTTAGAGGCGTTGTGCACAAATCACTGATTACTGACTATAACGGGAATGTTCTAAGAGCTCAAAATGAAACTGCATCACAACTGAAAGATCAGTTGACTCTACCTGGAACAACAGATGTAATATCATATTATTGTCAGTTATATAATCTCAGTCATTTCCCGCTAATTTGGGAACAATTGCAATTTATTGTAAAATACAGATGGATGGCATCAAACAGTTTGCAGCTTCACATAACTGAGAACAAAAGAAGAGGATGAGATAAATAGTGTGGATGGACAGTCAGCGTGTCTTTGTGTTCCAGCTGATGCTGATCATCGGCCTCACTCAGGCTCTGGTGGTGTTTCGAGTTGTGGCCGCCCCCTTGATCTCTGAGGGCAGCTGGGCGTTCATTAGAGACCACGCCAACACTGTGGCTATGATGCTGGGAGCTGTGCTGCACTATGTCACCATTCAAATCATGACCCGGGTAAGTTTCCTCCACCATATTCTGCCTTAAGCACATTAATACAAGACATTTTCATTTACATCTAAATGTAGTGATTTTTAATTCAGAATTGTTAGTGCTCCCTGTTTGGTGGCACTGGCCTTTTACTAAAGTGGAAAAAAATGTCATTACTGTGAATATTTATGTGACTTAGAAAATACCAGCATTACCAGAAAGTAACTTGGAAATTAAACTTTTAAAATACTCCCCAACGCTCCTCACACTATACAAACAGCCTCCAGTCTACAGGACATAACAAAACACACACATCAGAGCTTTTAACTGTGTTTCAGTATTTGTTGTGTTACACATGGGTGGGTGTGAGTGGAGAACAATGGAAAAAAGAGATGCAGAACCAGAGACAGTGGATACACCTGAAGTTACAGGTGATTAAGTCTGTAGTGTAGTTGTGTAAAAGATGATCAGTGTCTGTGCTTTCAGGGGGTTTTCACTTCATTCCCAGCAGCTAGACTTCACAAACAACAAAGATGCTTTCAGTATAGGTAGTTTTTAACCTGACAGGAAAGTCAGACATGACACCACTGAGGAAACAGGAGGAGGGAAGCTCCTGAAAACCAGGTGTCATACAGAGCATTCAGCAAGTATCAGACCCCTTCACTTTCTTCTCATTTTGTTATGTTGCAGCCTGATGCTAAAACAAAAAAAAATCCTTTATCAGTCTACACTCATTACCTCACAATGACAAACTCAAAGCAGAAATGTAAACATCTTTCCAAATGTAAAAAAAAATTAAAAAGTAAAAACTGACATCACATTGGCATAAGTGTTTAGATACTTTACTGTGACTCTGCAAGTTTAGCTCAGGTTACTTCATTTCTCCTGATTGGAGTCCAGCTGTGGTAAACTCATGATGTAGAAAGACACACAACAGTGAACAAATCCCCGATTCCTAAATCTAGGTGTGCAAAGCTTCTAAATACTTATGTTAATGTGATATTTCAGTTTTTCCTTGTCAATAAGATTTCTAAGTTTCATTTTTGACTTTGTCATTATGGGGGATTTAGGTAAAATGAATTTAAACAATTTAAGCATAAAACTGGAACATAATAAAATGTGAAAAAAATAAAGGGGTCTCAACACATTTTAAATGCATTGTATGTGAAACTAAGAGATCCCTGCTCCTCTAAAGGTCTCCCTGCCAATGATGTAATAACCATAAAATCTTTCATGTCTTTGTGTTCTATGCCATCTGTAGGTAAACCGATGGGTTTCCCTCAAGCTGTGTGACATAGGTGAGAATCAAGTTAGATGCTCTATTACATTTGTTGTGCTGCAAGTACCAGTAATAAACTATTATATATGTTAGTAGACATTTGGTCAAATATCATCAGTAACATTCATTTATCCATTTGCTCTGTGTGCATGTGTGTGTGTGCATGTGTGTGTATGTGTGTATTCAGAGAAGATAAACTCATTTGCTGCCACGGAGAGGAGCTTCACAGTCAAGATGTTCACCTTTCAGTTCTTCACTCTCTTCTCTTCACTCTTCTATGTGGCCTTCTTCCTGGGCAGGTACAACTGCAACTGTCTCTTTTTGTTCGGGGGAAATATAAATACCACATTGAATCATGAAATACTATTAAAATGCACTGATATTACTTTAAAGTTTCAATATCACAATGATGTCAGATGTATCAGTTGATTAGACCTGGAGTCGACTCGCATTTTGTCAAATGGCTGCACTTCTTTTTAGTTGTGTCATTGACACAGAACAATGCAGGAGCAACAAAATGACTGAAGAACATAACTAACTGGAGGAAGAGACATGGATGGAAATGGAAGACAAGCATATCGCTGAGCATGAGGCAGCCTGGCTCGTGTCTGGCGGCTGCTCCACAGCTCTCAGCACCAGTTAGGCTGGCAGGGCAACCTCTGATCCAGACGCTGGTGAAACCTCCTGTCACCATGAGTGAGTGCCTGACAGCGCTGTCAGTAGACCAGCTGTAGTGTGCTATTATAACTGAACGGTGATCAGGACACACACTTACTTTATCTGATTGTGTGGAAATCTGATATTTTCACATCACAGATGATTGACTAAGACACTAAAACGTGAGCCTTACATTTAAAACATGAGACTCATGTTTAGTGTTGGAGTTTAGTGTTGGGTGGCTTGACTGGCACAGACTGTGCAGGGGATTGAATATGTTTTTTTTTAGGCATTAACCACAAAACATGTGAAAATGTAATATACTGTTTCCTGTGACCTGCATTAGTTCAACAGCCGCTTCATCTTCAGGTAACGTTAACTGCAGCCTGCAGAAACATTGTCCATCTATTGACTGCACATTATTTCCAATGTTTGTGTATTTGTGCAGCGGTAGCACAGGCCTCCAGTGAGGTGCACATTGATGCAGGAAAGAGTTACTGAATGTGTCACAGCAGAGACTAAATATTTGCTGAAAGCCTGACACCCTTTCAGCTCAGTACAATCTCCATGGTTTAGGTTTGATACTGAGGAAAATCAGGACAGATTGTTTTTATCCAATGGATGCCTTCATTACACAAATAAACTACCTAAAAAGATTAAATAATGGGTTGAAAAGAGGAAAGGTGGATTTATTCTTGGGTTCAGATTTTGTAAAATGCTATCAATCCAATCTCTGTTGCAGTAACAGCTGAAAACACCACGGTCTCAACAGAAAAAGGCCCACACTGCTTTTTTATTTATATAGCCCAAAATCACAAATTTGCCTCAAAGGACTTAACAATCTGTGTAGCATCACAGCTCCCTCTGTCCTTCGACTCTCCAATCATAAAAGGAAAAACTCCTTAAACCTTAGGAAGAGCAACAGTCCTCTGTCCCTCCTCCAGGACACACACATATGCAACAGATGTGGAATCTTCAGAACAGAGCAACAAAGTATGGACAACATTATAGATTGACAACATTAATGAAGAATATGATCACCAGCACAACTCACCTCTTCTCTACCATGAAGACCTGGAAAGAGGACAGACTACACAAACACACAAGAGGCAAAACCCATAGACAATCAAAGAATACGCCACTAACTGAAAGTTACCGAATGTTACAGCGTGAAGATGAGTTCTAAGTTTGGATTCAAAGCTTCACTGATGTCAGACAGTCTGATGTCAGCAGGGAAGTGGATTCAGAGGACGGGGGCCTGATATGAAAAGGCCCTGTAGCCAGCAGACGTCTTCTTAGCTCTGGGGACAGACAGGAGCCCTAAATTCTGAGAATGTAGAGCATGGGATGGAATATAAGGTTTAAGGAGATCAGACAGGTGTGAAAGCATCTGCCATAGACAGAAAAGAAATAGCAAATACACTTGCACCTCTCTGAGCACCTATGGGTGTGTTGGTCTTAAAATGAGGTGTGGTCAGGCCCATTGCTGCTGCATTGATATCTTGAGGCAGTGGAAAGTGATTGACCAATAAAAACCTGGTCTGAAGTCAACATGGACCAACATACACAGGCACACAGAGCTCACACACTCTGCCTGTTACACACAAGCAGAGTGAGCTGAAGCTGCTCTTAGATGTTGGATGAGTCAGGTGAACATTACAGTACAGCCTCAGAAGGAGCTTCTTTGTGACGTGTTGTGTGTTGGATATCGTTGTCATGTGTCATGGATGTCTCTTGCATGAGGCTCTGCAGAGAAGCTTCTTTTTACTACCTGGTAACTCCTCCACAGTGTTCCACATTCATCACCTACATTTGTCCACAGTTTCATAACGAACCGAAGATTTATTCACACTTCTCATCATATCACATCAAATATTTCTAACGTTGTGATTTGTGCTGTTACTTCTCTGTAGAGCTGTGAGCAGAGCGTTGATTCACTCAGACTTTTTTTCCCCTCGGGGAGCACAGATCTGCTGCCTTGTATCAGGACTGGACTCACTGGTCAGGACTTGATTGGCTGGTCAGGATTGCACTCACTGGTCAGTCACAATATGTGATCAACTGACCACCAGTAGAATTTAACTCTGTGTGAAAGACTGTGCTATTATAATAGCAGTATGCCAAAGGTGCAGCGGACCTGGCTTTAAAAGGGAATTGGAGATGCACTGTGATTGGTTTACTGGATGTTACTCCCAAAACAGCATGCGCCTGGAGCAGTGACTGTTTTTTTCTTCCTTCCTCTGTTACATTGGTGAAAGAAGGCGGCCTTTGTGAGGTCTTTAATGTGCTGATTGAGGGAGAGGGTGGGCTCAAATGAGACACCCTGATTCTTGGCTGTCAGGCTGTGAAAAATCACACAGTAGTCAGGAGTTACTGTATCTTGATCAAACTGGTTAATTTCTGTATACCCAACTGGGCCAATGACCAGCATCGCAGTTTTAGCTGAATTTAGGGACAGGAAGTGATGACACATCCAACTTTTCACAGCAGAAAAGCAGGCCTCTAATTTCATAACTTTAGAAGAGTCATCAGTTTTTTCAGGAAGGTACAGCGGAGTATCATCAGCGTAACAGTGGACATTCATCCCATGACTGCGTAAATGTGTGTGTTTTAAATATTCCAGTTGAAACCTCTAGATAGGACACAGAGACTGACAACATGATACACTCCTATACTATAATGTTGTTACTGTATGATCCAATCAGTTAAAGCTAAGACAAAGTGGATCCAAACACACAACACGATTGACAGAGGATATCATTAATCAATAACTACATTAATTAATAAAAAATTTTTGTTTTGCCAGCTATGATCAGCTATCAGTAGCTAATTCTCATTATTTTTAAGTAATTCCACCTTTTCTCCCAGCGTGAAACATGAGCTGCCCCCCTTCAGCCAGTGTTGCCTACTAGTACTGTATACGGACCCACCCTTAAGTTCAGAGGTTTAAACTGCATCTTGTTGATATGAAATTGATGCTCTCTCACAGGATAAATGGCCATCCAGGAAACTATGTGCGTATCGCTCGGTGGAGACTGGAGGAGGTGAGGAGGAGTTTCACTTACTGTTCAGACATTCACACACTACGTCTGCAACACGGTACTAACTCTCAGATGTGTTCTGTGTGTCTTGTAGTGCCATCCTAGTGGCTGTTTGACAGACCTTTTCATCCAGATGGCTGTGATCATGCTGCTCAAACAGACTCTCAACAACATCTTTGAGTTCACAGTGCCGTGAGTGTTTTCATTTAAAGGTCCATATAGTATAGAGGTAGATGTCCATGTGGTGTTTGATTATAAAGCAGGTCTAGGTTCTATATTAATACTGTGAAAGTATCAAAGCGCTCAGTCCACAGAGAAACACACACAGCCTGTAAAACCAGCTGTTATTGTGGCTGTGTATGTGGACGGCAAACTTGCTTCCTCATACTTGAGGGGTGATATCCATGGCCTGGAGTTGGAGCTCTGAAAAAAGGATAAGCTTCTTCACAGCTTTGTCTCCATTCTCTGGCCATAATTTCCCCATATATGCTATTGGCAGAGACAGTAGAGAAACCGAGACGCGTCATTTCTGTTTATTTCCTGTATCTGTGTCACGTGGGTTTCTTCACCTCCCGCCCCTTTAGGAGACCAGCAGTAGGTCACAGATTATCACAGATTCTTTCGCTCCATAGTCACCAAAATAAGTATTGGACCCAGTTTTCACAAGCCACACGTCTTCAGAACATTCTGACATCAAAATTAAATTTTTCAGACGAACAGATACGGAGAAAATTTACTTTATTGGAGACCTGCCTCTGTCTCAGTGCCATACCCCTGCGAGATCTGTCAGCTGCCAACATCGTTTGCCAACCGATGACCAGATGTTTAGATGGACCAGAGTTATTTTTGGATTGAGTTACTTATACGTGAAACCATGGATTAAACTTTAAAACTTAAAAAAAACATGTTTCATTGCTTAACAATTGCCAAAACAGAGTATTAGCCTATTAAACTGACATAACTTTTTACACTACCGTGTTTTATTGTCTATTGTTGTATTCTTTTGGCAGGGACAAGTAATCCATCAGTTAGTGTTAAAAATGCCTGAGCTTTGTGCAGCAACAGGCTGTAATAACAAGAAAAACAGATCTGTCTTTTCTTTCCCAAAAGATGCAGAGAGGTAAGTCTAGACAGGGATAGATTTTAATATTAGCTACTGTCACATTTCATGCCAGTTGCCTTCGCTTGAGGGAGGGGTCTGGGGACAACGCCCACGTAGGAGACCAGAACTGTGTCCCATTTCATACCATTGGTGCTTCCTGTAATGTGGTATCTTCTGTGTAGAGGATCTTATGCTGCCATCACACCACTGCCGGTAGATGTTCTGTCCATGCAATCGCCTTAATGTCACTGGCAGTCTTTCATCTGCAGTTCCAATCAATGCCATTCAAAACTCCACATGGTCTGGCAGAAATGTCAAAAATATCATCAAATATACACAGCGATATCAAAATAATGTAATGTAATGTAAAATATGGGACCTTCTAACCTTTATCTTTGTAAGGCAGCAGCTGTTGGAGGGTTAGTGTCCAGACCTCATCAGGTTGACCGCACAGTGTAAACATGTCACACTCTCCATTCATGTGTTTTTCAGCTGGTTAAAGAGGTGTTTGAGCAGAAACGCTGCAAAGAAACTGGAGAGGAAGTGTGGCCACTGCTACAGGAAGGCCTGCCGTGATGAACAGGGACGTATTGAACCATGTGACATCTGTAAACTTCGGGACTGGCTTCGTAACTACCACCTGGCCAACACAGATGCCTTTAGCCTGTTCAATGAGTTCCTGGAGATGGGTAGGTCCACAGTCTCTGCCCTGACCATCACACCTGAAAATGCAACTCACTGGTTTGAAGATGGATTGTTAGAGCACACAAAGGCCTGACAGTTCCTGGCAGAATAATGTCAGAACAAGGGCCAGTTATCATTATAGCCACTTTTCTTCAATCCTACCTCTACCAGCAATGAAAGTAAATTTATTTATTTATTTGATAGGGACAATAAATGTTAATGAACATCAGTACAAAATACACAGTGTAAACATGCTAGATTGTAAATGCCGATTTACATCTATAGTCCCTGGGCAGGTAACATAAAACAAAACACATTACACCACTACAAATATAAAATACACCAGATAAAAAAAGGCAAATACATTTTGCTGCATACTGAGTTAAAAATGATCACAGATGTGGTTTGACTTAATCCAATGTTTGAGGTGTGTCTTAAAGGTGGGATATGTAGGACTCTCCCTTATTGCAGGTGGGAAACAAAGTCATTGACAGTATTATTATTTCTTCTTCTCTTGATAATTCTTGATGTAACAGACAGTCTTATATATTCCAGAGGAAGACAAAATTAAACTTTTTAAAGAATTAAATGTTCATGTTATGGGCTTTGTCTGTGCACTCCAGTGGTCCAGTTCAGTTTCACCACTATATTTGTGGCTGCGTTCCCCCTCGCTCCCCTGTTGGCGCTCATCAACAACATCTTTGAGATCCGCTTAGACGCCATCAAGATGGTCGGCCTGGAACGCCGGCTGGTTCCCAGGAAGACCAATGACATTGGTGAGCTGTGTGTCTGTTTATATATGAGTGAAAGGTTTCTGTGTGGAGCACACTGATAAAACATCAATTTCACATCACTGAATCATTTCAATAATAGATGAGAACATTGGCTGTGACAAATCTGAGCCAGCTGTAAAGCCAAATTCACAGAAGAAGGTTCATGTATAAGGAAACAGGAAACCTTCAACATATCCTCATTTGGGTTGTGCCAATGGACGATGATACTGATTGTTTATGAGAACGATCGCTGATAGCTCATGTCTTTGCAAATGTCAGGACGATATTTAACTTGTTTTCCCTTTAATGTAGTAACTTCTTATTTGTAGTATTCAGTTAATCTCAAATTGAATTTGCCCCACCACAGTTTCACGTATCTAACCGCATGTAACCATGAGTGCAACACGCACACACACACTCCGATCAGCTGACTGTAATGAAGCAGCATGTTGTGTGTAGGTGCCGCTCTGTGATTACAGAGCGGAGATCGACAGACAGAACACGTCATTTAGTTCAGCTTCTCAGTCAATTATTCAATCATTATTTGTGATGACATGTTGTTTTAACATAGACATAAACATCTTACTGTCTTCTGTGTACAGGTGTGTGGACGAAGGTGTTGGAGGCCATCGGTGTGTTGGCGGTCATCGCCAACGGCCTGGTCATTGGAGTGTCATCGGACTTTATCCCACGCCTCGTCTATCGTTATCGCTACGGCCCATGTGCTAATGGAAGCACTCACACACAGTCAGTCATGTTTCAGCTGGTACAAACATCTGATATCAAGTCAGCAGAGTGTTTTCTGTGTTGTGTCTCATCGTGTGTTTCGTGGTCTTGTTGCAGCTGCATGCAGGGCTACATCAATGACACTCTGTCCACGGCTTTTATTAGTCACTCAGCAGTTCAAAAGGATTTTAGTATTATTCAGATGAAGACAGAGGATGGATTCAACGTTACACAGTGCAGGTGAGACCACCTCACCGTGATTCAGCTCTGTCCAAACATACAGAGTAATCAATCACAGATGTGTTAAACTGGACAATCTGTCTCATGTGCAGCTATAGAGACTACAGGAGTGATGAGGACTACACACTGACCTCTCAGTTCTGGTTGGTCCTGGCTGTGCGTTTCGCCTTTGTCATCCTGTTTGAGGTTCGTATTCCAGATGGGGACGAGGCAGTGTTGTTCATGTGAATCGATGAGGCCAGTTACATAGTTGTTTTGTGTCTGTTTCCACAGCATGTTGTAGTGGTGTGTAAGTTTATAGCCGCCTGGTTCGTCCCCAACAATCCCATTCAGGTGAAGAATCATCGTCTGACTGACAAACTGGCTCGGCTGAAGGAAGAACTCCGGTGAGTCAGCATTACCACGAGACAAAGATCATGTGACAAGCTGTGAAAACACTGTTAGAACATCTTCATCATTAAAATGTGTCTCGTAACCAGATTGTACGTAAATGTGATTTTAGCCTGATTATGTTTACACCTGGTATTAATATGAGTTCACATTGATCGATAACCCTAACCCTAGCCCATGTCACATCCTCCTCTTGTTTGCTCTTCTGTCCAAGTGGACATTTGTGCTAAATAGAGCTGCTGCGCCTATTCGCCACAGATGTCAACTGTGAAAATAAGTCAACATCAATATTTTGTGGCAGCCAGTCACTATTAACCACCAAATATTTATTTTCTAAATCATTTATGGTCGCACTGCTTCTCTGTCCACTGCAGGTACACAGTGCACACACACACACAGACACACAGCAGAGCAGAGGCTGTGCCGGACTACTTTAAGATTACTGCAGTTGACGTTACTATCACTGAACCTTACGGTACTGTCAGTGTAATAAAAAGTAAAAGTCCAATAAGAACTTTATCCAACCTCCTGTTCAACTAGCAACAAACAGAACAGAGATATTTACATCTGTTTCCTCCACCGACTCCTGGTGTCTTTTACATAACAACATTGCGCTGGTTAAGCTAATAGCGAACTGTGATGTTACAGTCAATTCAAATCCTGTTCTAATTAGTCCTTTTTAAAAAAGAACCAGTAATATTCTGAGATGTGGATAAGGTACAGATAAAATCCAAACAGTACCTGTCCCTACAGCTGGTTAATGTCTGACTTTGGGAGGATGAGCACATCACTGTTCAAATCCCTTCACTTTAAATCTTGTTCAACCAGTGTTATTTTGTTATTATTATTTTCTATGGTGCACAGTGAGCTCAGTCACAAACATGTGAAGGATTACTCCATGTAAGTGTTGTCTGTTCATTAGTAGACAGAGCTTCTTTTTTTTTTTTAAAGTATATTTTTTGGGCTTTTTATGCCTTTATGATAGCACAGTAGAGAGAGACAGGAAATGGGGAGGCAGAGAGAGGGGGAATGACATGCAGTAAAGGGCCGTCCGATGCGGGATTTTTGAAACATTTACGCACAATTACACATTTCAGCCCATCTAGTCGTTGTATGTGGATTGATAATGCAATTGTTTTGACACTTGTGTCTCTGTGGTAAAATTCCTTCCCGGATCACATTTCGTCCTCAATGCGTCTTGGGTGCATTTACACCTGTACTGTCATGTGGTGAACCACTATCTGACTGCAATCCAATCACCCAAAACATATTTTAATGCCAGGTGTAAATGTGATAGACAGGATGTGGTGATCTTCTTGTTCTACATTGTGCATGTTTTCTTGGTTTATTTCAGAGAAATTAAACGCGGCAGATCGACAGACGTCTGAACCTTCCACTGATAACTTCAGATCTGCTCCTGCTGGTTAAAGTGTGAAGTAAAAGGAGGAATTCTTGTTTTTATAATTTATATTTGCTGTTGGACTATGAGGCTGGACTCCATTGTAATGTTGTGTAAAGATTTTTGTGTCATGATATTATTGAATAATGTGACCACACAACAACCACCTTCTACCACACATTACATAACAGTTGACAGTCATGTAATTTTGTTTTTATACTAAAATGTAAGAAATAGTTTATTTTCATCATTTGATGTTGTTAATAAATTGTTGGCTTTCCAAGAAGGTCGACTGAGTGATCAGGTTAAAGGAACAGTTTTCTGGTCAGAGTTAGAGGAGAAGATATATTCTCTGCTGATATATAACCTGCCCGAACACCTACACCTGCAGTGTACACTGAGTGTAGTGTGCAACGATATGATGGCACGTTATGTACCAGACAGGTGTGTAGACAGGACAGGGATCTACCAACACAGTTCACTGAACACTCATTCAATGAACATTTTTCCTGACAGCAGCTCATAGCTCAGTGTATCCCTCAGTTTACCATCGTCTGCTGCACCACACCAGACCAACTGTTGGTGTTAAGCCTATAAACTGCCAGTAATCAGAATGCATGAGGAAGTTCAAGTTCAATAATGAAATACAGTCTGACTCCCACATTTGTTAATGTCCAGTTATAGTTATAACTCAACATCCACAGATGGTTATTACTTAAAATTAACAATCTATTCTTCTGAGCCTGATAAAGTTATCATTTATCTGACACTGTCAACATTATTATTGAATATATCGTTCTCTCAAAGGTTTTGTTTTATACTTTTGTTAAATGTGTCAAGCTCCTCTAAGGTCCCATGTGTGTGTGTGGTTTAACAGTATTCTGAGACTATCTGTACCACTGTATGGTTGATCCATATAAGTTGTTCCAACAAATCATCTGAGCTGTACTGAGCCTTGTGATGTGGGATCCACAGGATGGTGTTATTGTGTCCCATTGAGCTGTGATAAACTTCTTCACTCTGTGGCAGTAACTGACACTGTGTCACACAAGTGAAGACTGATTAATGCAAACAAGTGTTTTTTCATTCATAATATATATATATATATATATATGATTGTTAAAGTAACACCAAAAGGACTTTGATTATCACTAAGGTGTGAATCCTGAACTCTCATACATACATACTCTACTATTCTATAGAATGGGTGAAATGTAACAGACTTAAATGAATGACATAGCTGTATGTGTAAGTCCAGTAAAATTAAGCAATAACTATACTAAACAAAAACATAAACATAACACTTTTGTTTTTGCTTCTATTTTTCATGAGTTGGAATTGAAGATCTGAGACTTTTTTGAGCCACACAAAAAAAAAACTTCTTACTCTCAAAATGTCGTCACAAATGTCTTTACATCTGTGTTAGTGAGCACTTCTCCTTTGCAAAGATCATCCCTCCACCTGACAAGTGTGACAAATCAAGATGCTGATCACACAGTATGAGTACTGCACAGGTGTGACCTGGTCACAATAAAAGGCCATTTTAAAATGTGCAGTTTTATTTTGAAAAAATTATTTTCTTAGTTACTGAACTGTGTGACCTGGGCTACAGATGTGCATTTTTTGGGGGGGAAGGATGTGGGTCAGAAAACAAGTCAGTCAGGAAGTGGATCACGCTGTCATACACGCAGATCCAGAGCATCCAAACCTGCTAAGTGGTAGACACGTCCGGTGACTCTGCAGGTCATGCAAGAACTGGGATATTTTAGGCTTCCAGGAATTGTGTACATCAGGCTGCAACAGGAGGCAATGGCAGCAGATGAAGGGCACGACAATGGGCCTCAAGATCTCACACAGTGTGTGTGTGTGTGTCTATCTTTTGTGTTTATAGAAAAAGTCTTACATATTTATACAACATGTGTGTGTAGTCAGGTGGCATCCTTTGTGAGTGAATGCTGCATGAGTAAGTTCACCCAATGATCCTCCAGTAAGCCCCTAACTGTGAAACTTCAGTCACCCATCACCTCGAGTCCAGCACGCAACTAGTCCAGAGACCCTGAGTTCTGTGTTGTGTACCTGATGTTGCATTTGCCACCATACACATCTGAAATCTCTCTCTCTCCCTTTGTGTCTCTCTGTCTGTCTGTTTGTCTCTCTCTCTCTTTCTCTCTGTCCTCAAAATGTCGGTATCTCTGGTTTGGAGCAGCAGGATCCAGATCTGCCACTACAACAGTCATTATTATTATTATACACTCAGTTTGTCCATAGATATGATATCAGTTGAGCAGGTCACTAAGACCAAACTACTAGGCGTTAAATTATTTAATTTACTGCCTTGGTCTGATCAGATTGATCACATTGTTTCTATGATGGGATAAGGCATTGCAATCTCAAATAAATGTTCAGCATATGTTCCACCATCTGTTATGATTGATGTTGTGCGATCACTTGTCTTGTCACTCCTCGAGTACTGCCCAGTTATTTGGTCAAATGCTGCTGAGAAAAATCTAAAAAAAACTTCAAACTGCACAGAACAAAAACTTGTATATACAGGTTTTTGTCATGGATACAATACACATCAAGTTAGCACAGGTCATCTGATCGTACCAAGTCCATGAACAAATTGTATGAAGAGAACTGTCCCTCTGCTTGGACTCTGCCCACTATTTACATCAGACAGACCAAGAATAGATTTTCTTTTAAGAGGTTAATAAAACAAAATTTGATAAATCTCATCTAGATGTTACTGTGGTTTCTGCACCTTTGTCTTCATTTTTTTCCTGATAATGTGCATTTGTGACATTTTAATTTAGTTTTCATTGTAAGTTATTATTGTTTATTGTTTTACATGTAGAGTTATTTTAATTATTTTCTGTGTTTGGCTTGTTTTGTTTTTTTTCATTGATATAGTGTGATTTTTTATGATAATTTTTTTTATTTGTTGTTATTGTGTGTGGAAGACTAGCGACCACTGTGTGGAAGCTGATGGGGATCCAAATAAAGAAATGCATCAACAGTATATGCAGCTGTTCATGGTCTTTCTCTCTCTCTCTCTCTCTCTCTTCCCTCTCTCTCCTCCCCCACACCCTCTTCTCTTCTCAAACCCAACCAGTTGAGGGAGCCGAGGACAGTGACAAGGTTCTATAAATCTGATGGGAAGAGATCGAACGTGTTGGTTAGGCATTGTTCTAATATCCAAACCAACATTGTTTGTTAATTATCATAATGAAGACCTAATGTATGCATATCAGCGGAAAATCTCAAACACTGCATTCAGTTCTGTCAGCAGCACTCTCACACTTCAGACAGCTTGTCGGCACAAACACTGACATCATGACAACACAAAGCTTCCACGTCCCTTAGAACAGACACAGACAGAGAGAAAACAAATGGTACAGAGAAGGTCATGATAAGGACAAACTTAGACTTGACTGGCTGTACTGGACTGATAATCAGTGTGCTGTCTCAGTGACTCTGCCGGACTCACTCTGCTAAGAATAAACATTTACAGACAGCAGATATGCAAGGGGAGTAGCACACTTCCACACACACTTCCTAACATCCACAGGCAAACCAATTGCTCATCACACCTTGGTCGCTGCTCTCCTCGATGCTGTTTCTGCCCAAACAAGTTGCTATCTGTAAATGTGAGGCTCACACTAACAGTCCTGATTCAGTTTCGCAGCCAAATGCCAGAGCTGATGCTGCAACAAAGGCTGCTGGAGAGCAGAACCAAATCATTTCATGTGTTTCTATTCCTGACTCACTACTGACCCCCACAGCTGACTTACATGAATTGCAAATCAGAGTGACAACACTGCCTGGAAGAAAGCAGGATGTTCATAGACTAACAAAGTTTGGTATGATCATCCGTTTGGATGTACAATGTTTGTGCAAATAAAAGGGAGGATGTTGATCTCTTTTTGATATCTATACATTTTAAGTTCCTAGTCACAGTCTTGCATTGTTTGCTTCATTCTGAAAAATAATTCATATGTCATTTGATTATGACTGTCAGGTTGTGGAGGGAGAGACAATAACGTGTATCATATAAGGGAAAGTGTCCAACTGCATGCATATACATACATAATCATGCACACATTTATACTGTGCAGCACATGTGCCTGACCATCTCCAGTCAAACCATCTGATGAAGATGTCCCCATCCTCGAGCTCCATCCCTCATCACTACCACCTGTGTCTTTGCTTCATCTAATAGAAATATGGATAATCCCTGCGGGGGTCTAAGCGCCAAAGTCTATTCCTTCTGTTTACAGTAAATTTCATTTTATTTCAAATTTGTCAAATTCTTCTGTTCTTTTATTGGTTTCTCCTGATTGAGTTCCATATACACATTTTATACCTCCCACCTCAACAACACAAAAAGGCCCAAAATCTTAACTGAACAGCTAAACAAGACAAGAAGACAAAACTAAACAAATTAAAACAAGACAAAACACAACATAACGTACAACAACAAACAAAGTCAAACAAACAAGCTCAACCTCAGTGTCTTCATATCTGATCAACTTAAACAAGATCAAATATAAATAAACACTCATATGTTATATATAATAATAATAAACCACTCTTCTCTGTCGAGTCTTTTTATCCTCCACCCTCTACAACTTCAACCACAATACAATCTTTAGACCAATCCATTTGGCATGTGGCATAATTGTCAATCTGTCCTACATTATATAAAGAGGGGAAAAATATGAGAAAAACAAACCAACACAGAACCTAATACCCTCAGACCTGGTTTAGGCATAAAAACTAATCTTATGTACACAATGCTTGTAATATGATTTCAAATTAAGTTACTTTGTTATTTTCAATGGCCATTGTCTTTTTCATGTTTGACATGTCTTTTTTCCAGTGTAGTGGAGTAGAAGGGTATGTGGATTTCCAGTGTTCAAGATGATAATTGATGAAAAAAGAATAATCCACCTCCATGGATACCTCACTGTATCCTGTAGCACGTCTTGAAATACACAAACTGATGGATTAAAGTAAAAATTTTTCCTAATACCTCTGATAACCAATCCCAAAATGTGTGGATCAATGAATCTGTAATTCCCCATTTAAAACAATTCTGTCATATTTATTATTTTTATTTCTTGTGCAATTATTTTATAGAAAAAAATTCATTGAATGTAATATTTCTGTTAAATTCTAACTCGTGTCCCTTTGCTGCACATCATCCTATCTCTCTCTCTCTCTCTCTCTCTCTCTCTCTCTCTCTCTCTCTCTCTCCCTCTCTCTCTCTCTCTCTCTCTCTTGCCAGCAGAATTAAGGCAAAAAATAACTTAAAAGGAAAAGAGTGAGGAACCTGCTGGTATACACTTTTCTTTCAATGTTTTTAACTTCAAAAATCACAAAGCATTGAACAACAAGAGCATCCCAGCAGGTTCATCACTTTTTAGTGTCCCCTGGAAACACTTCTGTTGGGTTGTATTTGCTGTGAGTATTTGCAGCTCATGTGCTGTCACAATGATGAAGATGTTTTCTGAAGTTGTTTGTGTTTTGTCAATTTGCATGTGTTTTCTTAAGTTGCAGTGCATTGAGCTCTCAGGGCCACCCTGCAATGTAAATCAGAGGTTTGAAATGAACTTCTAGGTTGCATTGATTTTTTACCAATCTTTTAGAAAATTAAAAACAAAATCTTACAATTTCCCCAACTTTTTGTAAGTGTGTTCACTGAATATAAGTCAGTTATTTAGACAGGTGTGACAATGGAGGTATAAAAAGGAGACATGGGCTACTGAGTCTGTATATGTAAAAACTCCCACATTCATACACATTTAAAATTGATAATATTGCAATTAGTGCATCACGTCTGAAATCTGTAGTACCTCAAACACACCCTCCTTGTCCTCCCCAACTACCTCCTTTATGATGGCTGACAACCCAGTCTCTGTTTTGTCTGTGTCAAATGATGCGCTGGCAACAAGTGGCAGCAAGTCCGCAAAGCTTGTAGTTTTTTCCAATATATTTGTAGATATTAGTATATTTTTTTGTCGATTGATGTTTTTTAATTATATATCGTTGTTTCGTCTGACGATGGAGAAAACAAAGTATACAAAGGAAGAACTCCTGGCTTTAAAG